GGGGCCGCTAGGGGCGGCGACGGGGCCGCGTAGGGGCGGCGACGGGGCCGCGTAAGGGCGGCGACGGGGCCGCTAGGGGCGGCGACGGGGCCGCGTAGGGGCGGCGACGGGGCCGCGTAGGGAGAGAGGCGGCGACGGGGCCGCTAGGGGCGGCGACGGGGCCACTAGGGGCGGCGACAGGGCCGCGTAGGGGCGGCGACAGGGCCGCTAGGGGCCGCGAGGGGCCTGGAAGGGCGGCGACGGGGCCGCTAGGGGCGGCGACGGGGCCGCTAAGGGTGGCGCGAGGGGCCGTGAGAGGGGCCTCTAAGAGAGTTCGACAGAAGGGCGGCCCACAAGGCGCGCTTCGGGAAGGAGCGACTGACGCTCCGGTCAGAAAAAAAAATTTCAGTGGTGGGCCCAAGGAAGCGTTCCCACTAGGGAACCTGCTCTATACCATGTGAAGAAATGAGGAATGAATGAACTAGCACAAGATTGGGTACAAGTAGGAAACCCTAGGAAATTGTACCCCATAGTGTCTACCCCACTATAGCCTAGACAAGCTATATGATAAATGTTTGACATAATCTAGTGGACTGGCAATAATATGGCACTAACTGCATCTCTACAAACATAAGTAATGCGCTGGTCAGTTTGGTCGGTATGCGCGCCTGTAGTGCAGGTAACACGTACGACTGGAATGTCTATATCTGCCAAATTACATAGATTGGATAGGTTAGTACATGGTAGGGGGGTGGGGAATGGTATAATTTAAAATTAATGGGAATGCATATGGTATTTACTGTATTTGTATAAAGAGAATAATGCGTCGGCCTGTAAGGTCAGTGTGCACGCTTGTGTGTCGGTACAAGGCGGAACTGGAACTCTGAAATCTCCCAAATTATGTGGATCGGAAAGGTTATAACCAAGTGTTGTTGAAGTAGAAGGCCTAATCTAGTGGACTGGTACGAACATGGCACTAACTGCATCTCTACAAGCATACGTAATGCGCTAGTCAGTTTGGTCAGTATGCGCGTCTGTACTGCAGGTACCATATACGGCTGGAATGTCTACATCGGCCAAATTACATGTATCTGATAGGTTAAAACATGGTAGGGGGGTGGGGAATGATATAATTTAAAGGAAATGGGAATACATATGGTATACACTGTGTTTGTACTGAGAGAATAATGCGTCGGCCGGTAAGGTCAGTATGCACGCTTGTGTGTAGGTACAAGGCGGAACTCGAACTATGAAATCTCCCAAATTATGTGGATCAGAAAGGTTATAACCAGGTGTTGTTGATTACATAAATCATTTTCTGTAATTTAATCAGCCGATTTCACCTTTTATGGGGTGCGCAAGAATATTTAGCTTGGGGCTGAAGCGGAAACGGGTTTCCTACTTTCGAGACGAAGTCAACTGAGGTCTCGACCAAAGAGAGCGAGCCATGGGGGAAATGGTGGTGTTCTGAGTGGGAGGGGCGAAATCAGTTCAGCCCCTTCATTTCGACCAATGGGAGCAAGGCAGGGATAAAAACGTGGTGTTCAGAGTGGGAGGGGCGAACTGAACATTGACCAATGAGGTTGCAGTTCGCTGCTCAAAAGGTGAGTTCGGATTTGGGTGGGTGCAAGTTCGAGTTGAGTGCTTTCTGGACCAATGAGAGCGAGCGGTTCTTGCCCAAGATGCAAGTTCGAATTGAGAGTGAGTTTGCAGCTGTTCGTACCACTAGTTTTGGGGGAATGGGATTGGCTGATGTTCGTGCGGCGAGTTCGGTTCATTAGCGAGCAATCAGCTGCTCGCGCTGCGACTTCCAAAGGGATCTGATTGGTCGCTGCTCATGCAGCGTGTTCATTTCGTCAGTTTGCGAGCAGCTGTTCGCGACACGTGGGAGCAACGCAAGTGTTAACATGCTTGCGACATGTTATTTAACTCGGATCGAGTTGGCGTTCACGCCTCGAAAGCAAAGTACAGGTGGTGAGCACCAGTTGGGTGCTGATTGAGTTGCTGATCGAGTCGAAGCTGATCGCCACCGACATATTAACTCGTGCAGAATTCGAACGGGCTTCATCGTAACCGTTCGTAAATGGCGCGAAGTGAAATGTTCGAATCGCCGCCGACGCAACTCAGCGCGCACGATTTTCGAATTATTTTGGCAATGCTTCGAGAGCGTTCCAGGTCAGGAAATAATATGGAGGGAAAGCTCAATGTGTGTTCGCGCTACGAGTATGGAAATGAAGAAACGTAAAACAGGGTAGGAAACTAGAATTATCAAGCCCTAGTATAAAGTTGTTTGTCCTTGCTTGTTTTAGCAATAAGTTGAGTGGATTTCTTTCTCTCGTACTTGCTGCAATAATGCCTTCAGTGTTCAAAGTTTTGACAACGCCTAGAAAGGAACGCCTGCTGCGACAACCAAGCTACCACTACAAGCTTCTCTCTCTACGCACTCGGACCCTTGGATAGGGGCTGACGTTAAGTCAGGCACCCAGGGACCCTCGGAGGTGACCCCGAGGAGAGTGCTGGCAGTGCTAGAAAAGTGATTAGAGAGTAGGCTAGTACGTTTCAAGACTAACAATAACCAGGTGTTGTTGAAGTAGAAGGCATAATCTAGTGGACTGGCAATAATATGGCACTAACTGCATCTCTACAAACATAAATAACGCGCTGGTCAGTTTGGTTGGTATGCGCGCCTGTAGTGCAGGTACCACGTACGGCTGGAATGTCTATATCTGCCAAATTACATAGATCGGATAGGTAAATATATGGTACGGGGGTGGGGAATGGTATAATATAAAGATAATGGGAATACATATGGTATTTACTGTATTTGTACAAAGAGAATAATGCGTCTGCCGGTAAGGTCAGCATGCACGCTTGTGTGTAGGTACAAAGCGGAACTGGAACTCTGAAATCTCCCAAATTATGTGGATCGAAAAGGTTATAACCAAGTGTTGTTGAAGTAGAAGGCCTAATCTAGTGGACTGGCAAAAATATGGCACTAACTGCATCTCTACAAAGATACGTAATGCGCTGGTCAGTTTGGTCAGTATACGCGTCTGTAGTGCTGGTACCATTTACGACTGGAATGTCTAAATCTGCCAAATTACATGGATCCGATAGGTTAAAACATGGTAGGGGGGTGGGGAATGATATAATTTAAACAAAATGGGAATACATATAGTATACATTGTGTTTGTACTGAGACGATAATGCGTCGGCCGGTAAGGTCAGTATGCACGCTTGAGTGTAGGTACAAGGCGGAGCTGGAACTCTGAAATCTCTGAAAGGTTATAACCTAGTGGTGTTGAACTAGAAGGCCTAATCTAGTGGACTGGCAAGAATATGGTACTAACTGCATTTCTAGAAACATAAGTAATGCGCTGGTCAGTTTGGTCGGTATGCGCGCCTGTAGTGCAGGTACCATGTACGACTGGAATGTCTATATCTGCCAAATTGCATAGATCCGATAGGTTAAAACATGGTAGGGGGGTGGGGAATGGTATCATTTAAAGGAAATGGGCATACATATGGTATTCACTGTATTTTTACGGAGAGAATAATGCGTCGGCTGGTAAGGTCAGTATGCACGCTTGTGTGTAGGTACAAGGCGGAATTGGAACTCTGAAATCTCCCAAATTATGTGGATCGGAAAGGTTATAATCTAGTGTTGTTGAAGTAGAAGGCCTATTCTAGTGGACTGGCAAGAATATGGTAGTAACTGCATCTCAACAAACATGAGTAATGCGCTCATTAGTTTGGTCGCTATGCGCGCCTGTAGTGCAGGTACCATGTACGACTGAAATGTATTTATCTGCCAAATTACATAGATCCGATAGGTTAAAACATGGTAGGGGGGTGGGGAATGGTATAATTTAAAGTAGATGGGAATACATGTGGTATTTGCTGTATATGTACAGAAAGAATAAAGCGTCGGCTGATAAGGTCAGTATGCACGCTTGTGTGTAGGTACAAGGCAGAGCTGGAACTCTGAAATCTCCCAAAATTATGTGGATCAGAAAGGTTATAACCTAGTGTTGTTGAAGTAGAAGGCCTTATCTAGGGGACTACCAAGAATATGGTACTAACTGCCTCTCTACAAAAATATGTAATGCGCTGGTCAGTTTGGTCGCTATGCGCGCCTGTAGTGCAGGTACCATGTAGGATTGGAATGTCTATATCTGTCAAATTTTATAGATCCGATAGGTTAAAACATGGTAGGGGGGTGGGGAATGGTATCATTTAAAGGAAATGGGAATACATGTGGTATTCACTGTATTTGTACAGAGAGAATAATGCGTCGGCGGTAAGGCCAGTATGCACGCTTGTGTGTAGGTACAAGGCGGAGCTGGAACTCTGAAATCTCCCAAATTATGTGGATCGGAAAGGATATAACCAAGTGTTGTTGAAGTAGAAGGCCTAATCTAGTGGACTGTCAAGAATATGGCACTAACTGCATCTCTACAAACATGAGTAATGCGCTGGTCAGTTTGGTCGGTATGCGCGTCTGTAGTGCAAGTACCATGTACGAATGAAATGTCTTAATTTAAAGTAAATGGGAATACATATGGTATTTGCTGTATTTGTACAGAAAGAAAAATGCGTCGGCCGGTAAGGCCAGTATGCACGCTTGTGTGTAGGTACAAGGCGGAGCTGGAACTCTGAAATCTCCCAAATTATGTGGATCGGAAAGGATATAACCAAGTGTTGTTGAAGTAGAAGGCCTAATCTAGTGGACTGTCAAGAATATGGCACTAACTGCACCTCTACAAACATGAGTAATGCGCTGGTCAGTTTGGTCGCTATGCGCGTCTGTAGTGCATGTACCATGTACGACTGGAATGTTTATATCTGCCAAATTACATAAATCCGCTAGCTCCTTTTCACTGCTGCCAACTCCATCTCCCTCTCCTTAACCTCCCCTCTCATCTCTCTCATATCCGCTACTCGTCCTTGCTCAGCCTCCTTCGACTCTATGATCTGCCCCATAACAGCATCTACTCTCTCACCTAGGGTCTGCTCCACCGTTAACAGCCGCTCCTCCACCCCGCCCCATTCTCCCTCTTTCCATCACCCCTCCCCATTCTCCCTCTTTCCATCACCCCGCCCCGTTCTGGGGCGAATGGGGCGGGGTGATGAAAAGAGGGACAATGGGGCGGGGTGAAGGAAAGAGGGAGAATAGGGCGGGGTGATGGAAAGCGGGAGAATGGGGCAGGGTGATGGAAAGCGGGAGAATGGGGCGGGGTTATGGAAAGAGGGAGAATGGGGCGGGGTGAAGGAAAGAGGGAGAATGGGGCAAGGTGATGGAAAGAGGGAGAATGGGGCGGGGTGATGGAAAGAGGGAGAATGGGGCGGGGTGATGGAAAGCGGGAGAATGGGGCGGGGTGATGGAAAGCGGGAGAATCGGGCGGGGTGATGGAAAGCGAGAGAATGGGGCGGGGTGATGGAAAGCGGGAGAATGGGGCGGGGTGAAGGAAAGAGGGAGAATAGGACGGGGTGATGGAAAGCGGGAGAATGGGGCAGGGTGATGGAAAGCGGGAGAATGGGGCGGGGTTATGGAAAGAGGGAGAATGGGGCGGGGTGATGGAAAGAGGGAGAATGGGGCAAGGTGATGGAAAGAGGGAGAATGGGGCGGGGTGATGGAAAGAGGGAGAATGGGGCGGGGTGATGGAAAGCGGGAGAATGGGGCGGGGTGATGGAAAGCGGGAGAATCGGGCGGGGTGATGGAAAGCGGGAGAATGGGGCGGGGTGATGGAAAGCGGGAGAATGGGGCGGGGTGATGGAAAGCGGGAGAATCGGGCGGGGTGATGGAAAGCGGGAGAATGGGGCGGGGTGATGGAAAGCGGGAGAATGGGGTGGGGTGATGGAAAGCGGGAGAATGGGGCGGGGTGATGGAAAGCGGCAGAATCGGGCGGGGTGATGGAAAGCAGGAGAATGGGGCGAGGTGATGGAAAGCGGGAGAACGGGGCGGGGTGATGGAAAGCGGGAGAATGGCGCGAGGTGATGGAAAGAGGGAGAACGGGGCTTGGTGATGGAAAGCGGGAGAACGGGGCGGGGTGATGGAAAGCTGGAGAATGGGGCGGGGTGATGGAAAGCAGGAGAATGGGGCGGGGTGATGGAAAGAGGGAGAATGGGGCGGGGTGATGGAAAGCGGGAGAATGGGGAGGGGTGATGGAAACAGGGAGAATGGGGCGGGGTGATGGAAAGCGGGAGAATGGGGCGGGGTGATGGAAAGCGGGAGAATGGGGCGGGGTGATGGAAAGCGGGAGAATGGGGCGGGGTGATGGAAAGCGGGAGAATGGGGAGGGGTGATGGAAAGCGGGAGAATGGGGCGGGGTGATGGAAAGAGGGAGAATGGGGCGGGGTGATGGTAAGAGGGAGAATGGGGCGGGGTGATGGGAAGCAGGAGAATGGGGCGGGGTGATGGAAAGCGGGAGAATGGGGCGGGGTGATGGAAAGCGGGAGAATGGGGCGGGGTGATGGAAAGCGGGAGAACGGGGCGGGGTGATGGAAAGCGGGAGAACGGGGTGGGGTGATGGAAAGCGGGAGAAGGGGGCGGGGTGATTGAAAGCTGGAGAACGGGGCGGGGTGATGGAAAGCGGGAGAATGGCGCGGGGTTATGGAAAGAGGGAGAACGGGGCGGGGTGATGGAAAGCGGGAGAATGGGGCGGGGTGATGGAAAGAGGGAGAATGGGGCGGGATGATGGAAAGCGGAAGAATGTGGCGGGGTGATGGAAAGAGGGAGAATGGGGCGGGGTGATGGAAAGCGGGAGAATGGGGCGGGTGATGGAAAGCAGGAGAATGGGGCGGGGTGATGGAAAGAGGGAGAATGGGGCGGGGTGATGGAAAGCGGGAGAATGGGGCGGGTGATGGAAAGCGGGAGAGTGGGGCGGGGTGATGGAAAGCGGGAGAGTGGGGCGGGGTGATGGAAAGCGGGAGAATGGGGCGGGTGATGGAAAGCGGGAGAATGGTGCGGGGTGATGGAAAGCGAGAGAATGGGGCGGGGTGATGGAAAGCGGGAGAATGGGGCGGGGTGCTGGAAAGAGGGAGAATGGGGCGGGGTGATGGAAAGGGTGAGAATGGGGCGGGGTGATGGAAAGAGGGAGAATGGGGCGGGATGATGGAAAGAGGGAGAATGGGGCGGGGTGATGGAAAGAGGGAGAATGGGGCGGGGTGATGGAAAGAGGGACAATGGGGCGGGGTGAAGGAAAGAGGGAGAATAGGGCGGGGTGATGGAAAGCGGGAGAATGGACCAGGGTGATGGAAAGCGGGAGAATGGGGCGGGGTTATGGAAAGAGGAAAAATGGGGCGGGGTGATGGAAAGAGGGAGAATGGGGCGGGGTGATGGAAAGCGGGAGAATGGGGCGGGGTGATGGAAAGAGGGAGAATGGGGCGGGGTGATGGAAAGCGGGAGAATGGGGCGGGGTGATGGAAAGAGGGAGAATGGGGCGGGGTGATGGAAAGCGGGAGAATGGGGCGGGGTGATGGAAAGAGGGAGAATGGGGCGGGGTGATGGAAAGCAGGAGAATGGGGCGGGGTGATGGAAAGCGGGAGAATGGGGCGGGGTGATGGAAAGCGAGAGAATGGGGCGGGGTGATGGAAAGCGGGAGAATGGGGCGGGGTGATGGAAAGCGGGAGAATAGGGCGGGGTGATGGAAAGCGGGAGAATGGGGCGGGGTGATGGAAAGCGGGAGAATGGGGCGGGGTGATGGAAAGAGGGAGAATGGGGCGGGGTGATGGGAAGCGGGAAAATGGGGCGGGGGTGATGAAAAGAGGGAGAATGGGGCGGGGTGATGGAAAGAGAGAGAATGGGGCGGGGTGATGGAAAGAGGGAGAATGGGGCGGGGTGATGGAAAGCGGGACAATGGGGCGGGGTGATGGAAAGCGGGAGAATGGGGCGGGTGATGGAAAGCGGGAGAATGGGGCGGGGTGATGGAAAGAGGGAGAATGGGGCTGGGTGATGGAAAGCGGGAGAATGGGGCGGGGTGATGGAAAGCGGGAGAATGGGGCGGGGTGATGGAAAGCGGGAGAATGGGGCGGGGTGATGGAAAGCGGGAGAATGGGGCGGGGTGATGGAAAGCGGGAGAATGGGGCGGGGTGATGGAAAGAGGGAGAATGGGGCGGAGTGATGGAAAGCGGGAGAACGGGGCGGGGTGATGGAAAGCGAGAGAATGGGGCGGGGTGATGGAAAGCGGGAGAACGGGGCGGGGTGATGGAAAGCGGGAGAATGGGGCGGGGTGATGGAAAGCGGGAGAATGGGGCGGGGTGATGGAAAAAGGGAGAATGGGGCGGGGTGATGGAAAGGGTGAGAATGGGGCGGGGTGATGGGAAGCGGGAGAATGGGGCGGGGTGATGGAAAGAGAGAGAATGGGGCGGGGTGATGGAAAGAGGGAGAATGGGGCGGGGTGATGGAAAGCGGGAGAATGGGGCGGGGTGATGGAAAGCGGGAGAATGGGGCGGGTGATGGAAAGCGGGAGAATGGGGCGGGGTGATGGAAAGAGGGAGAATGGGGCTGGGTGATGGAAAGCGGGAGAATGGGGCGGGGTGATGGAAAGCGGGAGAATGGGGCGGGGTGCTGGAAAGAGGGAGAATGGGGCGGGGTGATGGAAAGAGGGACAATGGGGCGGGGTGATGGAAAGAGGGAGAATGGGGCGGGATGATGGAAAGAGGGAGAATGGGGCGGGGTGATGGAAAGAGGGAGAATGGGGCGGGGTGATGGAAAGACGGACAATGGGGCGGGGTGAAGGAAAGAGGGAGAATAGGGCGGGGTGATGGAAAGCGGGAGAATGGACCAGGGTGATGGAAAGCGGGAGAATGGGGCGGGGTTATGGAAAGAGGAAAAATGGGGCGGGGTGATGGAAAGAGGGAGAATGGGGCGGGGTGATGGAAAGCGGGAGAATGGGGCGGGGTGATGGAAAGAGGGAGAATGGGGCGGGGTGATGGAAAGAGATAGAATGGGGCGGGGTGATGGAAAGAGGGAGAATGGGGCGTGGTGATGGAAAGCGGGTGAATGGGGCGGGGTGATGGAAAGCGGGAGAATGGGGCGGGTGATGGAAAGCGGGAGAATGGGGCGGGGTGACGGAAAGAGGGAGAATGGGGCGGGGTGATGGAAAGCGGGAGAATCGGGCGGGGTGATGGAAAACGGGAGAATGGGGCGGGGTGATGGAAAGCGGGAGAATGGGGCGGGGTGATGGAAAGCGGGAGAATGGGGCGGGGTGATGGAAAGCGAGAGAATGGGGCGGGGTGATGGAAAGAGGGAGAATGGGGCGGGGTGATGGAAAGAGGGAGAATGGGGCGGGGTGATGGAAAGAGGGAGAATGGGGCGGGGTGATGGAAAGAGGGAGAATGGGGCGGGGTGATGGAAAGCGGGAGAATGGGGCGGGGTGATGGAAAGCGGGAGAATGGGGCGGGGTGATGGAAAGCGGGAGAATGGGGCGGGGTGCTGGAAAGCGGGAGAATGGGGCGGGGTGATGGAAAGCGGGAGAATGGGCGGGGTGATGGAAAGCGGGAGAATGGGGCGGGGTGATGGAAAGCGGGAGAATGGGACAGGATGATGGAAAGCGGGAGAATGGGGCGGGGTGATGGAAAGCGGGAGAATGGGGCGGGGTGATGGAAAGCGGGAGAATGGGGCGGGGTGATGGAAAGCGGGAGAATGGGGCGGGGTGATGGAAAGCGGGAGAATGGGGCGGGGTGATGGAAAGAGGGAGAATGAGGCGGGGTGATGGAAAGAGGGAGAATGGGGCGTGGTGATGGAAAGAGGGAGAATGGGGCGGGGTGATGGAAAAAGATAGAATGGGGAGGGGTGATGGAAAACGGGAGAATGGGGCGGGGTGATGGAAAGAGGGAGAATGGGGCGGGGTGATGGAAAGAGGGAGAATGGGGTGGGGTGATGGAAAGCGGGAGAATGGGGCGGGTGATGGAAAGCGAGAGAATGGGGCGGGGTGATGGAAAGCGGGAGAATGGGGCGGGGTGATGGAAAGCGGGAGAATGGGGCGGGGTGATGGAAAGAGGTAGAATGGGGTGGGGTGATGGAAAGCGGGAGAATGGGGCGGGGTGATGGAAAGCGGGAGAATGGGGCGGGGTGATGGAAAGAGGGAGAATGGGGCGGGGTGATGGGAAGCGGGAAAATGGGGCGGGGTGATGAAAAGAGGGAGAATGGGGCGGGGTGATGGAAAGAGAGAGAATGGGGCGGGGTGATGGAAAGAGGGAGAATGGGGCGGGGTGATGGAAAGCGGGACAATGGGGCGGGGTGATGGAAAGCGGGAGAATGGGGCGGGTGATGGAAAGCGGGAGAATGGGGCGGGGTGATGGAAAGAGGGAGAATGGGGCTGGGTGATGGAAAGCGGGAGAATGGGGCGGGGTGATGGAAAGCGGGAGAATGGGGCGGGGTGATGGAAAGCGGGAGAATGGGGCGGGGTGATGGAAAGCGGGAGAATGGGGCGGGGTGATGGAAAGCGGGAGAATGGGGCGGGGTGATGGAAAGAGGGAGAATGGGGCGGAGTGATGGAAAGCGGGAGAACGGGGCGGGGTGATGGAAAGCGAGAGAATGGGGCGGGGTGATGGAAAGCGGGAGAACGGGGCGGGGTGATGGAAAGCGGGAGAATGGGGCGGGGTGATGGAAAGCGGGAGAATGGGGCGGGGTGATGGAAAAAGGGAGAATGGGGCGGGGTGATGGAAAGGGTGAGAATGGGGCGGGGTGATGGGAAGCGGGAGAATGGGGCGGGGTGATGGAAAGAGAGAGAATGGGGCGGGGTGATGGAAAGAGGGAGAATGGGGCGGGGTGATGGAAAGCGGGAGAATGGGGCGGGGTGATGGAAAGCGGGAGAATGGGGCGGGTGATGGAAAGCGGGAGAATGGGGCGGGGTGATGGAAAGAGGGAGAATGGGGCTGGGTGATGGAAAGCGGGAGAATGGGGCGGGGTGATGGAAAGCGGGAGAATGGGGCGGGGTGCTGGAAAGAGGGAGAATGGGGCGGGGTGATGGAAAGAGGGACAATGGGGCGGGGTGATGGAAAGAGGGAGAATGGGGCGGGATGATGGAAAGAGGGAGAATGGGGCGGGGTGATGGAAAGAGGGAGAATGGGGCGGGGTGATGGAAAGACGGACAATGGGGCGGGGTGAAGGAAAGAGGGAGAATAGGGCGGGGTGATGGAAAGCGGGAGAATGGACCAGGGTGATGGAAAGCGGGAGAATGGGGCGGGGTTATGGAAAGAGGAAAAATGGGGCGGGGTGATGGAAAGAGGGAGAATGGGGCGGGGTGATGGAAAGCGGGAGAATGGGGCGGGGTGATGGAAAGAGGGAGAATGGGGCGGGGTGATGGAAAGAGATAGAATGGGGCGGGGTGATGGAAAGAGGGAGAATGGGGCGCGGTGATGGAAAGCGGGTGAATGGGGCGGGGTGATGGAAAGCGGGAGAATGGGGCGGGTGATGGAAAGCGGGAGAATGGGGCGGGGTGACGGAAAGAGGGAGAATGGGGCGGGGTGATGGAAAGCGGGAGAATCGGGCGGGGTGATGGAAAACGGGAGAATGGGGCGGGGTGATGGAAAGCGGGAGAATGGGGCGGGGTGATGGAAAGCGGGAGAATGGGGCGGGGTGATGGAAAGCGAGAGAATGGGGCGGGGTGATGGAAAGAGGGAGAATGGGGCGGGGTGATGGAAAGAGGGAGAATGGGGCGGGGTGATGGAAAGAGGGAGAATGGGGCGGGGTGATGGAAAGAGGGAGAATGGGGCGGGGTGATGGAAAGCGGGAGAATGGGGCGGGGTGATGGAAAGCGGGAGAATGGGGCGGGGTGATGGAAAGCGGGAGAATGGGGCGGGGTGCTGGAAAGCGGGAGAATGGGGCGGGGTGATGGAAAGCGGGAGAATGGGCGGGGTGATGGAAAGCGGGAGAATGGGGCGGGGTGATGGAAAGCGGGAGAATGGGACAGGATGATGGAAAGCGGGAGAATGGGGCGGGGTGATGGAAAGCGGGAGAATGGGGCGGGGTGATGGAAAGCGGGAGAATGGGGCGGGGTGATGGAAAGCGGGAGAATGGGGCGGGGTGATGGAAAGCGGGAGAATGGGGCGGGGTGATGGAAAGAGGGAGAATGAGGCGGGGTGATGGAAAGAGGGAGAATGGGGCGTGGTGATGGAAAGAGGGAGAATGGGGCGGGGTGATGGAAAAAGATAGAATGGGGAGGGGTGATGGAAAACGGGAGAATGGGGCGGGGTGATGGAAAGAGGGAGAATGGGGCGGGGTGATGGAAAGAGGGAGAATGGGGTGGGGTGATGGAAAGCGGGAGAATGGGGCGGGTGATGGAAAGCGAGAGAATGGGGCGGGGTGATGGAAAGCGGGAGAATGGGGCGGGGTGATGGAAAGCGGGAGAATGGGGCGGGGTGATGGAAAGAGGTAGAATGGGGTGGGGTGATGGAAAGCGGGAGAATGGGGCGGGGTGATGGAAAGCGGGAGAATGGGGCGGGGTGAGGGAAAGAGGGAGAATGGGGCGGGGTGATGGAAAGAGGGAGAATGGTGCTGGGTGATGGAAAACAGGAGAATGGGGCGGGGTGATGGAAAGAGGGAGAATGGGGCGGTGTGAAGGAAAGAGGGAGAATGGGGCGGGGTGATGGAAAGCGGGAGAATGGGGCGGGGTGATGGAAAGAGGGAGAATGGGGCGGGGTGATGGAAAGAGGGAGAATGGGGCGGGGTGATGGAAAAAGGGAGAATGGGGCGGGGTGATGGAAAGAGGGAGAATGGGGAGGGGTGATGGAAAACGGGAGAATGGGGTGGGGCAATGGAAAGCGGGAGAATGGGGAGGCTGATGGAAAGCGGGAAAATGGGGCGGGGTGATGGAAAGCGGGAGAATGGGGCGGGGTGATGGAAAGCGGGAGAATGGGGCGGGGTGATGGAAAACGGGAGAATCGGGAGGGGTGATGGAAATCGGGAGAATGGGGCGGGGTGCTGGAAAGCGGGACAATGGGGCGGGGTGATGGAAAGCGGGAGAACGGGGCGGGGTGATGGAAAGAGGGAGAATGGGGCAGGGTGATGGAAAGCGGGAGAATGGGGCGGGGTGATGGAAAGCGGGACAATGGGGCGGGGTGATGGAAAGCGGGAGAATGGGGCAGGATGATGGAAAGCGGGAGAATGGGGCGGGGTGATGGAAAGCGGGAGAATGGGGCGGGGTGATGGAAAGAGGGAGAATGGGGCGGGGTGATGGAAAGAGGGAGAATGGGGCGGGGTGATGGAAAGAGGGAGAATGGGGCGGGGTGATGGAAAGAGGGAGAATGGTGCTGGGTGATGGAAAACGGGAGAATGGGGCGGGGTGATGGAAAGAGGGAGAATGGGGCGGGGTGATGGAAAGAGGGAGAATGGGGCGGGGTGATGGAAAGAGGGAGAATGGGGCGGGGTGATGGAAAGAGGGACAATGGGGCGGGGTGAAGGAAAGAGGGAGAATAGGGCGGGGTGATGGAAAGCGGGAGAATGGACCAGGGTGATGGAAAGCGGGAGAATGGGGCGGGGTTATGGAAAGAGGAAAAATGGGGCGGGGTGATGGAAAGAGGGAGAATGGGGCGGGGTGATGGAAAGCGGGAGAATGGGGCGGGGTGATGGAAAGAGGGAGAATGGGGCGGGGTGATGGAAAGAGATAGAATGGGGCGGGGTGATGGAAAGAGGGAGAATGGGGCGCGGTGATGGAAAGCGGGTGAACGGGGCGGGGTGATGGAAAGCGGGAGAATGGGGCGGGTGATGGAAAGCGGGAGAATGGGGCGGGGTGACGGAAAGAGGGAGAATGGGGCGGGGTGATGGAAAGCGGGAGAATCGGGCGGGGTGATGGAAAACGGGAGAATGGGGCGGGGTGATGGAAAGCGGGAGAATGGGGCGGGGTGATGGAAAGCGGGAGAATGGGGCGGGGTGATGGAAAGCGAGAGAATGGGGCGGGGTGATGGAAAGAGGGAGAATGGGGCGGGGTGATGGAAAGAGGGAGAATGGGGCGGGGTGATGGAAAGAGGGAGAATGGGGCGGGGTGATGGAAAGAGGGAGAATGGGGCGGGGTGATGGAAAGCGGGAGAATGGGGCGGGGTGATGGAAAGTGGGAGAATGGACGGGGTGATGGAAAGCGGGAGAATGGGGCGGGGTGCTGGAAAGCGGGAGAATGGGGCGGGGTGCTGGAAAGCGGGAGAATGGGCGGGGTGATGGAAAGCGGGAGAATGGGGCGGGGTGATGGAAAGCGGGAGAATGGGACAGGATGATGGAAAGCGGGAGAATGGGGCGGGGTGATGGAAAGCGGGAGAATGGGGCGGGGTGATGGAAAGCGGGAGAATGGGGCGGGGTGATGGAAAGCGGGAGAATGGGGCGGGGTGATGGAAAGCGGGAGAATGGGGCGGGGTGATGGAAAGAGGGAGAATGAGGCGGGGTGATGGAAAGAGGGAGAATGGGGCGTGGTGATGGAAAGAGGGAGAATGGGGCGGGGTGATGGAAAAAGATAGAATGGGGAGGGGTGATGGAAAACGGGAGAATGGGGCGGGGTGATGGAAAGAGGGAGAATGGGGCGGGGTGATGGAAAGAGGGAGAATGGGGTGGGGTGATGGAAAGCGGGAGAATGGGGCGGGTGATGGAAAGCGAGAGAATGGGGCGGGGTGATGGAAAGCGGGAGAATGGGGCGGGGTGATGGAAAGCGGGAGAATGGGGCGGGGTGATGGAAAGAGGTAGAATGGGGTGGGGTGATGGAAAGCGGGAGAATGGGGCGGGGTGATGGAAAGCGGGAGAATGGGGCGGGGTGAGGGAAAGAGGGAGAATGGGGCGGGGTGATGGAAAGAGGGAGAATGGTGCTGGGTGATGGAAAACGGGAGAATGGGGCGGGGTGATGGAAAGAGGGAGAATGGGGCGGGGTGATGGAAAGAGGGAGAATGGGGCGGGGTGATGGAAAGCGGGAGAATGGGGCGGGGTGATGGAAAGAGGGAGAATGGGGCGGGGTGATGGAAAGAGGGAGAATGGGGCGGGGTGATGGAAAGAGGGAGAATGGGGCGGGGTGATGGAAAGAGGGAGAATGGGGAGGGGTGATGGAAAACGGGAGAATGGGGCGGGGCAATGGAAAGCGGGAGAATGGGGAGGCTGATGGAAAGCGGGAAAATGGGGCGGGGTGATGGAAAGCGGGAGAATGGGGCGGGGTGATGGAAAGCGGGAGAATGGGGCGGGGTGATGGAAAACGGGAGAATCGGGAGGGGTGATGGAAATCGGGAGAATGGGGCGGGGTGCTGGAAAGCGGGACAATGGGGCGGGGTGATGGAAAGCGGGAGAACGGGGCGGGGTGATGGAAAGAGGGAGAATGGGGCAGGGTGATGGAAAGCGGGAGAATGGGGCGGGGTGATGGAAAGCGGGACAATGGGGCGGGGTGATGGAAAGCGGGAGAATGGGGCAGGATGATGGAAAGCGGGAGAATGGGGCGGGGTGATGGAAAGCGGGAGAATGGGGCGGGGTGATGGAAAGAGGGAGAATGGGGCGGGGTGATGGAAAGAGGGAGAATGGGGCGGGGTGATGGAAAGAGGGAGAATGGGGCGGGGTGATGGAAAGAGGGAGAATGGTGCTGGGTGATGGAAAACGGGAGAATGGGGCGGGGTGATGGAAAGAGGGAGAATGGGGCGGGGTGATGGAAAGAGGGAGAATGGGGCGGGGTGATGGAAAGCGGGAGAATGGGGCGGGGTGATGGAAAGAGGGAGAATGGGGCGGGGTGATGGAAAGAGGGAGAATGGGGCGGGGTGATGGAAAGAGGGAGAATGGGGCGGGGTGATGGAAAGAGGGAGAATGGGGCGGGGTGATGGAAAGAGGGAGAATGGTGCTGGGTGATGGAAAACGGGAGAATGGGGCGGGGTGATGGAAAGAGGGAGAATGGGGCGGGGTGATGGAAAGAGGGAGAATGGGGCGGGGTGATGGAAAGCGGGAGAATGGGGCGGGGTGATGGAAAGAGGGAGAATGGGGCGGGGTGATGGAAAGCGGGAGAATGGGGCGGGGTGATGGAAAGCGGGAGAATCGGGCGGGGTGATGGAAAGAGGGAGAATGGGGCGGGGTGATGGAAAGAGGGAGAATGGGGCGGGGTGATGGAAAGAGGGAGAATGGGGCGGGGTGATGGAAAGAGGGAGAATGGTGCTGGGTGATGGAAAACGGGAGAATGGGGCGGGGTGATGGAAAGAGGGAGAATGGGGCGGGGGTGATGGAAAGAGGGAGAATGGGGCGGGGTGATGGAAAGAGGGAGAATGGGGCGGGGTGATGGAAAGAGGGACAATGGGGCGGGGTGAAGGAAAGAGGGAGAATAGGGCGGGGTGATGGAAAGAGGGAGAATGGGGCGGGGTGATGGAAAGAGGGAGAATGGGGCGGGGTGATGGAAAGAGGGAGAATGGGGCGGGGTGATGGAAAGAGGGAGAATGGTGCTGGGTGATGGAAAACGGGAGAATGGGGCGGGGTGATGGAAAGAGGGAGAATGGGGCGGGGTGATGGAAAGAGGGAGAATGGGGCGGGGTGATGGAAAGCGGGAGAATGGGGCGGGGTGATGGAAAGAGGGAGAATGGGGCGGGGTGATGGAAAGAGGGAGAATGGGGCGGGGTGATGGAAAGAGGGAGAATGGGGCGGGGTGATGGAAAGAGGGAGAATGGGGCGGGGTGATGGAAAGAGGGAGAATGGTGCTGGGTGATGGAAAACGGGAGAATGGGGCGGGGTGATGGAAAGAGGGAGAATGGGGCGGGGTGATGGAAAGAGGGAGAATGGGGCGGGGTGATGGAAAGCGGGAGAATGGGGCGGGGTGATGGAAAGAGGGAGAATGGGGCGGGGTGATGGAAAGCGGGAGAATGGGGCGGGGTGATGGAAAGAGGGAGAATGGGGCGGGGTGATGGAAAGAGGGAGAATGGGGCGGGGTGATGGAAAGAGGGAGAATGGGGCGGGGTGATGGAAAGAGGGAGAATGGGGAGGGGTGATGGAAAACGGGAGAATGGGGCGGGGCAATGGAAAGCGGGAGAATGGGGAGGCTGATGGAAAGCGGGAAAATGGGGCGGGGTGATGGAAAGCGGGAGAATGGGGCGGGGTGATGGAAAGCGGGAGAATGGGGCGGGGTGATGGAAAACGGGAGAATCGGGAGGGGTGATGGAAATCGGGAGAATGGGGCGGGGTGCTGGAAAGCGGGAGAATGGGGCGGGGTGATGGAAAGCGGGAGAACGGGGCGGGGTGATGGAAAGAGGGAGAATGGGGCAGGGTGATGGAAAGCGGGAGAATGGGGCGGGGTGATGGAAAGCGGGACAATGGGGCGGGGTGATGGAAAGCGGGAGAATGGGGCAGGATGATGGAAAGCGGGAGAATGGGGCGGGGTGATGGAAAGCGGGAGAATGGGGCGGGGTGATGGAAAGAGGGAGAATGGGGCGGGGTGATGGAAAGAGGGAGAATGGGGCGGGGTGATGGAAAGAGGGAGAATGGGGCGGGGTGATGGAAAGAGGGAGAATGGGGCGGGGTGATGGAAAGAGGGAGAATGGGGCGGGGTGATGGAAAGAGGGAGAATGGGGCGGGGTGATGGAAAGAGGGAGAATGGGGAGGGGTGATGGAAAACGGGAGAATGGGGCGGGGCAATGGAAAGCGGGAGAATGGGGAGGCTGATGGAAAGCGGGAAAATGGGGCGGGGTGATGGAAAGCGGGAGAATGGGGCGGGGTGATGGAAAGCGGGAGAATGGGGCGGGGTGATGGAAAACGGGAGAATCGGGAGGGGTGATGGAAATCGGGAGAATGGGGCGGGGTGCTGGAAAGCGGGACAATGGGGCGGGGTGATGGAAAGCGGGAGAACGGGGCGGGGTGATGGAAAGAGGGAGAATGGGGCAGGGTGATGGAAAGCGGGAGAATGGGGCGGGGTGATGGAAAGCGGGACAATGGGGCGGGGTGATGGAAAGCGGGAGAATGGGGCAGGATGATGGAAAGCGGGAGAATGGGGCGGGGTGATGGAAAGCGGGAGAATGGGGCGGGGTGATGGAAAGAGGGAGAATGGGGCGGGGTGATGGAAAGAGGGAGAATGGGGCGGGGTGATGGAAAGAGGGAGAATGGGGCGGGGTGATGGAAAGAGGGAGAATGGGGCGGGGTGATGGAAAGCGGGAGAATGGGGCGGGGTGATGGAAAGAGGGAGAATGGGGCGGGGTGATGGAAAGAGGGAGAATGGGGCGGGGTGATGGAAAGAGGGAGAATGGGGCGGGGTGATGGAAAGAGGGAGAATGGGGCGGGGTGATGGAAAGAGGGAGAATGGTGCTGGGTGATGGAAAACGGGAGAATGGGGCGGGGTGATGGAAAGAGGGAGAATGGGGCGGGGTGATGGAAAGAGGGAGAATGGGGCGGGGTGATGGAAAGCGGGAGAATGGGGCGGGGTGATGGAAAGAGGGAGAATGGGGCGGGGTGATGGAAAGAGGGAGAATGGGGCGGGGTGATGGAAAGAGGGAGAATGGGGCGGGGTGATGGAAAGAGGGAGAATGGGGCGGGGTGATGGAAAGAGGGAGAATGGTGCTGGGTGATGGAAAACGGGAGAATGGGGCGGGGTGATGGAAAGAGGGAGAATGGGGCGGGGTGATGGAAAGAGGGAGAATGGGGCGGGGTGATGGAAAGCGGGAGAATGGGGCGGGGTGATGGAAAGAGGGAGAATGGGGCGGGGTGATGGAAAGCGGGAGAATGGGGCGGGGTGATGGAAAGAGGGAGAATGGGGCGGGGTGATGGAAAGAGGGAGAATGGGGCGGGGTGATGGAAAGAGGGAGAATGGGGCGGGGTGATGGAAAGAGGGAGAATGGGGAGGGGTGATGGAAAACGGGAGAATGGGGCGGGGCAATGGAAAGCGGGAGAATGGGGAGGCTGATGGAAAGCGGGAAAATGGGGCGGGGTGATGGAAAGCGGGAGAATGGGGCGGGGTGATGGAAAGCGGGAGAATGGGGCGGGGTGATGGAAAACGGGAGAATCGGGAGGGGTGATGGAAATCGGGAGAATGGGGCGGGGTGCTGGAAAGCGGGAGAATGGGGCGGGGTGATGGAAAGCGGGAGAACGGGGCGGGGTGATGGAAAGAGGGAGAATGGGGCAGGGTGATGGAAAGCGGGAGAATGGGGCGGGGTGATGGAAAGCGGGACAATGGGGCGGGGTGATGGAAAGCGGGAGAATGGGGCAGGATGATGGAAAGCGGGAGAATGGGGCGGGGTGATGGAAAGCGGGAGAATGGGGCGGGGTGATGGAAAGAGGGAGAATGGGGCGAGGTGATGGAAAGAGGGAGAATGGGGCGGGGTGATGGAAAGAGGGAGAATGGGGCGGGGTGATGGAAAGAGGGAGAATGGTGCTGGGTGATGGAAAACGGGAGAATGGGGCGGGGTGATGGAAAGAGGGAGAATGGGGCGGGGTGATGGAAAGAGGGAGAATGGGGCGGGGTGATGGAAAGCGGGAGAATGGGGCGGGGTGATGGAAAGAGGGAGAATGTGGCGGGGTGATGGAAAGAGGGAGAATGGGGCGGGGTGATGGAAAGAGGGAGAATGGGGAGGGGTGATGGAAAACGGGAGAATGGGGTGGGGCAATGGAAAGCGGGAGAATGGGGAGGCTGATGGAAAGCGGGAAAATGGGGCGGGGTGATGGAAAGCGGGAGAATGGGGCGGGGTGATGGAAAGCGGGAGAATGGGGCGGGGTGATGGAAAACGGGAGAATCGGGAGGGGTGATGGAAATCGGGAGAATTGGGCAGGGTGATGGAAAGAGGGAGAAGGGGGCAGGGTGATGGAAAGCGGGAGAACGGGGCGGGGTGATGGAAAGAGGGAGAATGGGGCAGGGTGATGGAAAGCGGGAGAATGGGGCGGGGTGATGGAAAGCAGGACAATGGGGCGGGGTGATGGAAAGCGGGAGAATGGGGCAGGATGATGGAAAGCGGGAGAATGGGGCGGGGTGATGGAAAGCGGGAGAATGGGGCGGGGTGATGGAAAGAGGGAGAATGGGGCGTGTGATGGAAGCGGGAGAATGGGGCGGGGTGATGGAATTTCGGGAGAATGGGGCGGGTGATGGAAAGCGGGAGAATGGGGCAGGGTGATGGAAAGCGGGAGAATGGGGCGGGGTGATGGAAAGCGGGACAATGGGGCGGGGTGATGGAAAGCGGGAGAATGGGGCAGGATGATGGAAAGCGGGAGAATGGGGCGGGGTGATAGAAAGCGGGAGAATGGGGCGGGTGATGGAAAGCGGGAGAATGGGGCGGGGTGATGGAAAGAGGGAGAATGGGGCGGTGTGATGGAAAGCGGGAGAATGGGGCAAGGTGCTGGAAAGCGGGAGAATGGGGCAGGGTGATGGAAAGCGGGAGAATGGGGCGTGATGGAAAGCGGGAGCATGGGGCGGGGTGATGGAAAGCGGGAGAATGGGGCGGGGTGCTGGAAAGCGGGCGAATGGGGCGGGGTGATGGAAAGCGGGAGAATAGGGCGGGGTGCAAGAAAGCGGAAGAATGGAGCGGGGTGATGGAAAGCGGGAGAATGGGGCGGGGTGATGGAAAGCGGGAGAATGGGGCGGGGTGATGGAAAGCGGGAGAATGGGGCGGGTGATGGAAAGTGGGAGAATGGGGCGGGGTGATGGAAAGAGGGAGAATGGGGCGGGGTGATGGAAAGAGGGAGAATGGGGCGGGGTGATGGAAAGCGGGAGAATGGGGCGGGGTGATGGAAAGCGGGAGAATGGGGCGGGGTGATGGAAAGAGGTAGAATGGGGTGGGGTGATGGAAAGCGGGAGAATGGGGCGGGGTGATGGAAAGCGGGAGAATGGGGCGGGGTGAGGGAAAGAGGGACAATGGGGCGGGGTGATGGAAAGAGGGAGAATGGTGCTGGGTGATGGAAAACGGGAGAATGGGGCGGGGTGATGGAAAGAGGGAGAATGGGGCGGGGTGATGGAAAGAGGGAGAATGGGGCGGGGTGATGGAAAGCGGGAGAATGGGGCGGGGTGATGGAAAGAGGGAGAATGGGGCGGGGTGATGGAAAGAGGGAGAATGGGGCGGGTGATGGAAAGAGGGAGAATGGGGCGGGGTGATGGAAAGAGGGAGAATGGGGAGGGGTGATGGAAAACGGGAGAATGGGGCGGGGCAATGGAAAGCGGGAGAATGGGGAGGCTGATGGAAAGCGGGAAAATGGGGCGGGGTGATGGAAAGCGGGAGAATGGGGCGGGGAGATGGAAAGCGGGAGAATCGGGAGGGGTGATGGAAATCGGGAGAATGGGGCAGGGTGATGGAAAGAGGGAGAATGGGGCGGGGTGATGGAAAGCGGGAGAACGGGGCGGGGTGATGGAAAGAGGGAGAATGGGGCAGGGTGATGGAAAGCGGGAGAATGGGGCGGGGTGATGGAAAGCGGGACAATGGGGCGGGGTGATGGAAAGCGGGAGAATGGGGCAGGATGATGGAAAGCGGGAGAATGGGGCGGGGTGATGGAAAGCGGGAGAATGGGGCGGGGTGATGGAAAGAGGGAGAATGGGGCGTGTGATGGAAGCGGGAGAATGGGGCGGGGTGATGGAATTTCGGGAGAATGGGGCGGGGTGATGGAAAGAGGGAGAATGGGGCTGGGTGATAGAAAACGGGAGAATGGGGCGGGGTGATGGAAAGAGGGAGAATGGGGCGGGATGATGGAAAGAGGGAGAATGGCGCGGGGTGATGGAAAGCGGGAGAATGGGGCGGGGTGATGGAAAGAGGGAGAATGGGGCGGGGTGATGGAAAGAGGGATAATGGGGCGGGGTGATGGAAAGCGGGAGAATGGGGCGGGGTGATGGAAAGAGGGAGAATGGGGCGTGTGATGGAAGCGGGAGAATGGGGCGGGGTGATGGAATTTCGGGAGAATGGGGCGAGCTGATGGAAAGAGGGAGAATGGGGCGGGGTGATGGAAAGCGGGAGAATGGGGCGGGTGATGGAAAGTGGGAGAATGGGGCGGGGTGATGGAAAGAGGGAGAATGGGGCGGGGTGATGGAAAGAGGGAGAATGGGGCGGGGTGATGGAAAGCGGGAGAATGGGGCGGGGTGATGGAAAGCGGGAGAATGGGGAGGGGTGATGGAAAGAGGTAGAATGGGGTGGGGTGATGGAAAGCGGGAGAATGGGGCGGGGTGATGGAAAGCAGGAGAATGGGGCGGGGTGAGGGAAAGAGGGAGAATGGGGCGGGGTGATGGAAAGAGGGAGAATGGGGCTGGGTGATGGAAAACGGGAGAATGGGGCGGGGTGATGGAAAGAGGGAGAATGGGGCGGGGTGATGGAAAGAGGGAGAATGGGGCGGGGTGATGGAAAGCGGGAGAATGGGGCGGGGTGATGGAAAGAGGGAGAATGGGGCGGGGTGATGGAAAGAGGGAGAATGGGGCGGGGTGATGGAAAGCGGGAGAATGGGGCGGGGTGATGGAAAGAGGGAGAATGGGGCGGGGTGATGGAAAGAGGGATAATGGGGCGGGGTGATGGAAAGCGGGAGAATGGGGTGGGGTGATGGAAAGAGGGAGAATGGGGCGTGTGATGGAAGCGGGAGAATGGGGCGGGGTGATGGAATTTCGGGAGAATGGGGCGGGCTGATGGAAAGAGGGAGAATGGGGCGGGGTGATGGAAAGCGGGAGAATGGGGCGGGTGATGGAAAGTGGGAGAATGGGGCGGGGTGATGGAAAGAGGGAGAATGGGGCGGGGTGATGGAAAGAGGGAGAATGGGGCGGGGTGATGGAAAGCGGGAGAATGGGGCGGGGTGATGGAAAGCGGGAGAATGGGGCGGGGTGATGGAAAGAGGTAGAATGGGGTGGGGTGATGGAAAGCGGGAGAATGGGGTGGGGTGATGGAAAGCGGGAGAATGGGGCGGGGTGAGGGAAAGAGGGAGAATGGGGCGGGGTGATGGACAGAGGGAGAATGGTGCTGGGTGATGGAAAACGGGAGAATGGGGCGGGGTGATGGAAAGAGGGAGAATGGGGCGGGGTGATGGAAAGAGGGAGAATGGGGCGGGGTGATGGAAAGCGGGAGAATGGGGCGGGGTGATGGAAAGCGGGAGAATGGGGCGGGGTGATGGAAAGAGGTAGAATGGGGTGGGGTGATGGAAAGCGGGAGAATGGGGCGGGGTGATGGAAAGCGGGAGAATGGGGCGGGGTGATGGAAAGAGGGAGAATGGGGCGGGGTGATGGAAAGCGGGAGAATGGGGCGGGGTGATGGAAAGCGGGAGAATGGGGAGGGGTGATGGAAAGAGGTAGAATGGGGTGGGGTGATGGAAAGCGGGAGAATGGGGCGGGGTGATGGAAAGAGGGAGAATGGGGCGGGGGTGATGGAAAGAGGGATAATGGGGCGGGGTGATGGAAAGCGGGAGAATGGGGCGGGGTGATGGAAAGAGGGAGAATGGGGCGGGGTGATGGAAAGCGAGAGAATGGGGCGGGTGATGGAAAGTGGGAGAATGGGGCGGGGTGATGGAAAGAGGGAGAATGGGGCGGGGTGATGGAAAGAGGGAGAATGGGGCGGGGTGATGGAAAGCGGGAGAATGGGGCGGGGTGATGGAAAGAGGTAGAATGGGGCGGGGTGATGGAAAGAGGGAGAATGGGGCGGGGTGATGGAAACGGGAGAATGGGGCAGGGTGAGGGAAAGAGGGAGAATGGGGCGGGGTGATGGAAAGAGGGAGAATGGGGCTGGGTGATGGAAAACGGGAGAATGGGGCGGGGTGATGGAAAGAGGGAGAATGGGGCGGGGTGATGGAAAGAGGGAGAATGGGGCGGGGTGATGGAAAGCGGGAGAATGGGGCGGGGTGATGGAAAGAGGGAGAATGGGGCGGGGTGATGGAAAGAGGGAGAATGGGGCGGGGTGATGGAAAGCGGGAGAATGGGGCGGGGTGATGGAAAGAGGGAGAATGGGGCGGGGTGATGGAAAGAGGGATAATGGGGCGGGGTGATGGAAAGCGGGAGAATGGGGCGGGGTGATGGAAAGAGGGGGAATGGGGCGTGTGATGGAAGCGGGAGAATGGGGCGGGGTGATGGAATTTCGGGAGAATGGGGCGGGCTGATGGAAAGAGGGAGAATGGGGCGGGGTGATGGAAAGCGGGAGAATGGGGCGGGTGATGGAAAGTGGGAGAATGGGGCGGGGTGATGGAAAGAGGGAGAATGGGGCGGGGTGATGGAAAGAGGGAGAATGGGGCGGGGTGATGGAAAGCGGGAGAATGGGGCGGGGTGATGGAAAGCGGAAGAATGGGGCGGGGTGATGGAAAGAGGTAGAATGGGGTGGGGTGATGGAAAGCGGGAGAATGGGGCGGGGTGATGGAAAGCGGGAGAATGGGGCGGGGTGAGGGAAAGAGGGAGAATGGGGCGGGGTGATGGAAAGAGGGAGAATGGTGCTGGGTGATGGAAAACGGGAGAATGGGGCGGGGTGATGGAAAGAGGGAGAATGGGGCGGGGTGATGGAAAGAGGGAGAATGGGGCGGGGTGATGGAAAGCGGGAGAATGGGGCGGGGTGATGGAAAGCGGGAGAATGGGGCGGGGTGATGGAAAGAGGTAGAATGGGGTGGGGTGATGGAAAGCGGGAGAATGGGGCGGGGTGATGGAAAGCGGGAGAATGGGGCGGGGTGAGGGAAAGAGGGACAATGGGGTGGGGTGATGGAAAGAGGGAGAATGGTGCTGGGTGATGGAAAACGGGAGAATGGGGCGGGGTGATGGAAAGAGGGAGAATGGGGCGGGGTGATGGAAAGAGGGAGAATGGGGCGGGGTGATGGAAAGCGGGAGAATGGGGCGGGGTGATGGAAAGAGGGAGAATGGGGCGGGGTGATGGAAAGAGGGAGAATGGGGCGGGTGATGGAAAGAGGGAGAATGGGGCGGGGTGATGGAAAGAGGGAGAATGGGGAGGGGTGATGGAAAACGGGAGAATGGGGCGGGGCAATGGAAAGCGGGAGAATGGGGAGGCTGATGGAAAGCGGGAAAATGGGGCGGGGTGATGGAAAGCGGGAGAATGGGGCGGGGAGATGGAAAGCGGGAGAAAGGGGCGGGGTGATGGAAAACGGGAGAATCGGGAGGGGTGATGGAAATCGGGAGAATGGGGCAGGGTGATGGAAAGAGGGAGAATGGGGCGGGGTGATGGAAAGCGGGAGAACGGGGCGGGGTGATGGAAAGAGGGAGAATGGGGCAGGGTGATGGAAAGCGGGAGAATGGGGCGGGGTGATGGAAAGCGGGACAATGGGGCGGGGTGATGGAAAGCGGGAGAATGGGACAGGATGATGGAAAGCGGGAGAATGGGGCGGGGTGATGGAAAGCGGGAGAATGGGGCGGGGTGATGGAAAGAGGGAGAATGGGGCGTGTGATGGAAGCGGGAGAATGGGGCGGGGTGATGGAATTTCGGGAGAATGGGGCGGGGTGATGGAAAGAGGGAGAATGGGGCTGGGTGATAGAAAACGGGAGAATGGGGCGGGGTGATGGAAAGAGGGAGAATGGGGCGGGATGATGGAAAGAGGGAGAATGGGGGCGGTGTGATGGAAAGCGGGAGAATGGGGCGGGGTGATGGAAAGACGGAGAATGGGGCGGGGTGATGGAAAGAGGGATAATGGGGCGGGGTGATGGAAAGCGGGAGAATGGGGGCGGGGTGATAGAAAGAGGGAGAATGGGGCGTGTGATGGAAGCGGGAGAATGGGGCGGGGTGATGGAATTTCGGGAGAATGGGGCGAGCTGATGGAAAGAGGGAGAATGGGGCGGGGTGATGGAAAGCGGGAGAATGGGGCGGGTGATGGAAAGTGGGAGAATGGGGCGGGGTGATGGAAAGAGGGAGAATGGGGCGGGGTGATGGAAAGAGGGAGAATGGGGCGGGGTGATGGAAAGCAAGAGAATGGGGCGGGGTGATGGAAAGCGGGAGAATGGGAGGGGTGATGGAAAAGGTAGAATGGGGTGGGGTGATGGAAAGCGGGAGAATGGGGCGGGGTGATGGAAAGCAGGAGAATGGGGCGGGGTGAGGGAAAGAGGGAGAATGGGGCGGGGTGATGGAAAGAGGGAGAATGGGGCTGGGTGATGGAAAACGGGAGAATGGGGCGGGGTGATGGAAAGAGGGAGAATGGGGCGGGGTGATGGAAAGAGGGAGAATGGGGCGGGGTGATGGAAAGCGGGAGAATGGGGCGGGGTGATGGAAAGAGGGAGAATGGGGCGGGGTGATGGAAAGAGGGAGAATGGGGTGGGGTGATGGAAAGCGGGAGAATGGGGCGGGGTGATGGAAAGAGGGAGAATGGGGCGGGGTGATGGAAAGAGGGATAATGGGGCGGGGTGATGGAAAGCGGGAGAATGGGGCGGGGTGATGGAAAGAGGGAGAATGGGGCGTGTGATGGAAGCGGGAGAATGGGGCGGGGTGATGGAATTTCGGGAGAATGGGGCGGGCTGATGGAAAGAGGGAGAATGGGGCGGGGTGATGGAAAGCGGGAGAATGGGGCGGGTGATGGAAAGTGGGAGAATGGGGCGGGGTGATGGAAAGAGGGAGAATGGGGCGGGGTGATGGAAAGAGGGAGAATGGGGCGGGGTGATGGAAAGCGGGAGAATGGGGCGGGGTGATGGAAAGCGGGAGAATGGGGCGGGGTGATGGAAAGAGGTAGAATGGGGGTGGGGTGATGGAAAGCGGGAGAATGGGGCGGGGTGATGGAAAGCGGGAGAATGGGGCGGGGTGAGGGAAAGAGGGAGAATGGGGCGGGGTGATGGAAAGAGGGAGAATGGTGCTGGGTGATGGAAAACGGGAGAATGGGGCGGGGTGATGGAAAGAGGGAGAATGGGGCGGGGTGATGGAAAGAGGGAGAAAGGGGCGGGGTGATGGAAAGCGGGAGAATGGGGCGGGGTGATGGAAAGAGGGAGAATGGGGCGGGGTGATGGAAAGAGGGAGAATGGGGCGGGGTGATGGAAAGAGGGAGAATGGGGCGGGGTGATGGAAAGAGGGAGAATGGGGAGGGGTGATGGAAAACGGGAGAATGGGGCAGGGCAATGGAAAGCGGGAGAATGGGGAGGCTGATGGAAAGCGGGAAAATGGGGCGGGGTGATGGAAAGCGGGAGAATGGGGCGGGGTGATGGAAAGCGGGAGAATGGGGCGGGGTGATGGAAAACGGGAGAATCGGGAGGGGTGATGGAAATCGGGAGAATGGGGCGGGGTGCTGGAAAGCGGGACAATGGGGCGGGGTGATGGAAAGCGGGAGAACGGGGCGGGGTGATGGAAAGAGGGAGAATGGGGCAGGGTGATGGAAAGCGGGAGAATGGGGCGGGGTGATGGAAAGCGGGACAATGGGGCGGGGTGATGGAAAGCGGGAGAATGGGGCAGGATGATGGAAAGCGGGAGAATGGGGCGGGGTGATGGAAAGCGGGAGAATGGGGCGGGGTGATGGAAAGACGGAGAATGGGGCGGGGTGATGGAAAGAGGGAGAATGGGGCGGGGTGATGGAAAGAGGGAGAATGGGGCGGGGTGATGGAAAGAGGGAGAATGGGGAGGGGTGATGGAAAACGGGAGAATGGGGCGGGGCAATGGAAAGCGGGAGAATGGGGAGGCTGATGGAAAGCGGGAAAATGGGGCGGGGTGATGGAAAGCGGGAGAATGGGGCGGGGTGATGGAAAGCGGGAGAATGGGGCGGGGTGATGGAAAACGGGAGAATCGGGAGGGGTGATGGAAAGAGGGAGAATGGGGCGGGGTGATGGAAATCGGGAGAATGGGGCGGGGTGATGGAAATCGGGAGAATGGGGCAGGGTGATGGAAAGAGGGAGAATGGGGCGGGGTGATGGAAAGCGGGAGAACGGGGCGGGGTGATGGAAAGAGGGAGAATGGGGCAGGGTGATGGAAAGCGGGAGAATGGGGCGGGGTGATGGAAAGCGGGACAATGGGGTGGGGTGATGGAAAGCGGGAGAATGGGGCAGGATGATGGAAAGCGGGAGAATGGGGCGGGGTGATGGAAAGCGGGAGAATGGGGCGGGGTGATGGAAAGAGGGAGAATGGGGCGTATGATGGAAGCGGGAGAATGGGGCGGGGTGATGGAAAGCGGGAGAATGGGGCGGGGTGATGGAAAGCGGGAGAACGGGGCAGGGTGATGGAAAGAGGGAGAATGGGGCAGGGTGATGGAAAGCGGGAGAATGGGGGCGGGGTGATGGAAAGCGGGAGAATGGGGCGGGGGTGATGGAAAGAGGGAGAATGGGGCGGGGTGATGGAAAGAGGGAGAATGGGGCGGGGTGATGGAAAGAGGGAGAATGGGGCGGGGTGATGGAAAGAGGGAGAATGGGGAGGGGTGATGGAAAACGGGAGAATGGGGCGGGGCAATGGAAAGCGGGAGAATGGGGAGGCTGATGGAAAGCGGGAAAATGGGGCGGGGTGATGGAAAGCGGGAGAATGGGGCGGGGTGATGGAAAGCGGGAGAATGGGGCGGGGTGATGGAAAACGGGAGAATCGGGAGGGGTGATGGAAAGAGGGAGAATGGGGCGGGGTGATGGAAATCGGGAGAATGGGGCGGGGTGATGGAAATCGGGAGAATGGGGCAGGGTGATGGAAAGAGGGAGAATGGGGCGGGGTGATGGAAAGCGGGAGAACGGGGCGGGGTGATGGAAAGAGGGAGAATGGGGCAGGGTGATGGAAAGCGGGAGAATGGGGCGGGGTGATGGAAAGCGGGACAATGGGGTGGGGTGATGGAAAGCGGGAGAATGGGGCAGGATGATGGAAAGCGGGAGAATGGGGCGGGGTGATGGAAAGCGGGAGAATGGGGCGGGGTGATGGAAAGAGGGAGAATGGGGCGTGTGATGGAAGCGGGAGAATGGGGCGGGGTGATGGAAAGCGGGAGAATGGGGCGGGGTGATGGAAAGCGGGAGAACGGGGCAGGGTGATGGAAAGAGGGAGAATGGGGCAGGGTGATGGAAAGCGGGAGAATGGGGCGGGGTGATGGAAAGCGGGAGAATGGGGCGGGGTGATGGAAAGAGGGAGAATGGGGCGGGGTGATGGAAAGAGGGAGAATGGGGCGGGGTGATGGAAAGAGGGAGAATGGGGCGGGGTGATGGAAAGAGGGAGAATGGGGAGGGGTGATGGAAAACGGGAGAATGGGGCAGGGCAATGGAAAGCGGGAGAATGGGGAGGCTGATGGAAAGCGGGAAAATGGGGCGGGGTGATGGAAAGCGGGAGAATGGGGCGGGGTGATGGAAAGCGGGAGAATGGGGCGGGGTGAAGGAAAACGGGAGAATCGGGAGGGGTGATGGAAATCGGGAGAATGGGGCGGGGTGCTGGAAAGCGGGACAATGGGGCGGGGTGATGGAAAGCGGGAGAACCGGGCGGGGTGATGGAAAGAGGGAGAATGGGGCAGGGTGATGGAAAGCGGGAGAATGGGGCGGGGTGATGGAAAGCGGGACAATGGGGCGGGGTGATGGAAAGCGGGAGAATGGGGCAGGATGATGGAAAGCGGGAGAATGGGGCGGGGTGATGGAAAGCGGGAGAATGGGGCGGGGTGATGGAAAGAGGGAGAATGGGGGCGGGGTGATGGAAAGAGGGAGAATGGGGCGGGGTGATGGAAAGAGGGAGAATGGGGCGGGGTGATGGAAAGAGGGAGAATGGGGAGGGGTGATGGAAAACGGGAGAATGGGGCGGGGCAATGGAAAGCGGGAGAATGGGGAGGCTGATGGAAAGCGGGAAAATGGGGCGGGGTGATGGAAAGCGGGAGAATGGGGCGGGGTGATGGAAAGCGGGAGAATGGGGCGGGGGTGATGGAAAACGGGAGAATCGGGAGGGGTGATGGAAAGAGGGAGAATGGGGCGGGGTGATGGAAAGCGGGAGAATGGGGCGGGGTGATGGAAATCGGGAGAATGGGGCAGGGTGATGGAAAGAGGGAGAATGGGGCGGGGTGATGGAAAGCGGGAGAACGGGGCGGGGTGATGGAAAGAGGGAGAATGGGGCAGGGTGATGGAGCGGGAGAATGGGGCGGGGTGATGGAAAGCGGGAGAATGGGGCGGGGTGATGGAAAGAGGGAGAATGGGGCGTGTGATGGAAGCGGGAGAATGGGGCGGGGTGATGGAATTTCGGGAGAATGGGGCGGGGTGATGGAAAGAGGGAGAATGGGGCGGGGTGATGGAAAGCGGGAGAATGGGGCGGGTGATGGAAAGCGGGAGAATGGGGCGGGGTGATGGAAAGAGGGAGAATGGGGCGGGGTGATGGAAAGCGGGAGAATGGGGAAAAAGGTGCTGGAAAGCGGGAGAATGGGGCAGGGTGATGGAAAGCGGGAGAATGGGGCGTGATGGAAAGCGGGAGCATGGGGCGGGGTGATGGAAAGCGGGAGAATGGGGCGGGGTGCTGGAAAGCGGGCGAATGGGGCGGGGTGATGGAAAGCGGGAGAATGGGGCGGGGTGCAAGAAAGCGGAAGAATGGAGCGGGGTGATGGAAAGCGGGAGAATGGGGCGGGGTGATGGAAAGCGGGAGAATGGGGCGGGGTGATGGAAAGCGGGAGAATGGGGCGGGGTGATGGAAAGCGGGAGAATGGTGCGGGGTGATGGAAAGCGGGAGAATGGGGTGGGTGATGGAAAGTGGGAGAATGGGGCGGGGTGATGGAAAGAGGGAGAATGGGGCGGGGTGATGGAAAGAGGGAGAATGGGGCGGGGTGATGGAAAGCGGGAGAATGGGGCGGGGTGATGGAAAGAGGTAGAATGGGGTGGGGTGATGGAAAGCGGGGAGAATGGGGCGGGGTGATGGAAAGCGGGAGAATGGGGCGGGGTGAGGGAAAGAGGGAGAATGGGGCGGGGTGATGGAAAGAGGGAGAATGGTGCTGGGTGATGGAAAACGGGAGAATGGGGCGGGGTGATGGAAAGAGGGAGAATGGGGCGGGGTGATGGAAAGAGGGAGAATGGGGCGGGGTGATGGAAAGCGGGAGAATGGGGCGGGGTGATGGAAAGAGGGAGAATGGGGCGGGGTGATGGAAAGAGGGAGAATGGGGCGGGTGATGGAAAGAGGGAGAATGGGGCGGGGTGATGGAAAGAGGGAGAATGGGGAGGGGTGATGGAAAACGGGAGAATGGGGCGGGGCAATGGAAAGCGGGAGAATGGGGAGGCTGATGGAAAGCGGGAAAATGGGGCGGGGTGATGGAAAGCGGGAGAATGGGGCGGGGAGATGGAAAGCGGGAGAATGGGCGGGGTGATGGAAAACGGAGAGAATCAGGAGGGTGATGGAAATCGGGAGAATGGGGCAGGGTGATGGAAAGAGGGAGAATGGGGCGGGGTGATGGAAAGCGGAGAGAACGGGGCGGGGTGATGGAACGAGGGAGAATGGGGCGGGGTGATGGAAAGCGGGAGAATGGGGCGGGGTGATGGAAAGCGGGGACAATGGGGCGGGTGATGGAAAGCGGGAGAATGGGGCAGGATGATGGAAAGCGGGAGAATGGGGCGGGGTGATGGAAAGCGGGAGAATGGGGCGGGGTGATGGAAAGAGGGAGAATGGGGCGTGTGATGGAAGCGGGAGAATGGGGCGGGGTGATGGAATTTCGGGAGAATGGGGCAGGGTGATGGAAAGAGGGAGAATGGGGCGGGGTGATGGAAAGCGGGAGAATGGGGCGGGGTGATGGAAAGCGGGAGAATGGGGCGGGGTGATGGAAGAGGGAGAATGGGGCGGGGTGATGGAAAGAGGGAGAATGGGGCGGGGTGATGGAAAGCGGGAGAATGGGCGGGGTGATGGAAAGCGGGAGAATGGGGCGGGGTGATGGAAGAGGTAGAATGGGGTGGGGTGATGGAAAGCGGGAGAATGGGGCGGGGTGATGGAAAGCGGGAGAATGGGGCGGGGTGAGGGAAAGAGGGAGAATGGGGCGGGGTGATGGAAAGAGGGAGAATGGGGCTGGGTTGATGGAAAACGGGAGAATGGGGCGGGGTGATGGAAAGAGGGAGAATGGGGCGGGGTGATGGAAAGAGGGAGAATGGGGCGGGGTGATGGAAAGCGGGGAGAATGGGGCGGGGTGATGGAAAGAGGGAGAATGGGGCGGGGTGATGGAAAGAGGGATAATGGGGCGGGGTGATGGAAAGCGGGAGAATGGGCCGGGGTGATGGAAAGAGGGAGAATGGGGCGTGTGATGGAAGCGGGAGAATGGGGCGGGGTGATGGAATTTCGGGAGAATGGGGCGGGCTGATGGAAAGAGGGAGAATGGGGCGGGGTGATGGAAAGCGGGAGAATGGGGCGGGTGATGGAAAGTGGGAGAATGGGGCGGGGTGATGGAAAGAGGGAGAATGGGGCGGGGTGATGGAAAGAGGGAGAATGGGGCGGGGTGATGGAAAGCGGGAGAATGGGGCGGGGTGATGGAAAGCGGGAGAATGGGGTGGGGTGATGGTAAGAGGTAGAATGGGGTGGGGTGATGGAAAGCGGGAGAATGGGGCGGGGTGATGGAAAGCGGGAGAATGGGGGCGGGGTGATGGAAAGAGGGAGAATGGGGCGCGGTGATGGAAAGAGGGAGAATGGGGCGGGGTGATGGAAAGCGGGAGAATGGGGCGGGGTGATGGAAAGAGGGGATAATGGGGCGCGGTGATGGAAAGAGGGGAGAAGGGGCGGGGTGATGGAAAGTGGGAGAATGGGGCGGGGTGATGGAAAGAGGGAGAATGGGGCGTGTGATGGAAGCGGGAGAATGGGGCGGGGTGATGGAATTTCGGGAGAATGGGGCGGGGTGATGAAAAGAGGGAGAATGGGGCGGGGTGATGGAAAGCGGGAGAATGGGGCGGGTGATGGAAAGTGGGAGAATGGGGCGGGGTGATGGAAAGAGGGAGAATGGGGCGGGGTGATGGAAAGAGGGAGAATGGGGCGGGGTGATGGAAAGCGGGAGAATGGGGCGGGTGATGGAAAGCGGGAGAATGGGGCGGGGTGATGGAAAGCGGGAGAATGGGCCGGGGTGATGGAAAGAGGGAGAATGGGGCGGGGTGATGGAAAGCGGGAGAATGGGGGCGGGGTGATGGAAAGAGGGAGAATGGGGCGGGGTGATGTAAAGCGGGAGAATGGGGCGGGTGATGGAAAGCGGGAGAATGGGGCGGGTGATGGAAAGTGGGAGAATGGGGCGGGGTGATGGAAAGAGGGAGAATGGGGCGGGGTGATGGAAAGAGGGAGAATGGGGCGGGGTGATGGAAAGCGGGAGAATGGGGGTGGGGTGATGGAAAGCGGGAGAATGGGGTGGGGTGATGGTAAGAGGTAGAATGGGGTGGGGTGATGGAAAGCGGGAGAATGGGGCGGGTGATGGAAAGCGGGAGAATGGGGCGGGGTGATGGAAAGAGGGAGAATGGGGCGCGGTGATGGAAAGAGGGAGAATGGGGCGGGGTGATGGAAAGCGGGAGAATGGGGCGGGGTGATGGAAAGAGGGAGAATGGGGCGCGGTGATGGAAAGAGGGAGAATGGGGCGGGGGTGATGGAAAGCGGGAGAATGGGGCGGGGTGATGGAAAGAGGGAGAATGGGGCGTGTGATGGAAGCGGGAGAATGGGGCGGGGTGATGGAATTTCGGGAGAATGGGGCGGGGTGATGGAAAGAGGGAGAATGGGGCGGGGTGATGGAAAGCGGGAGAATGGGGCGGGTGATGGAAAGCGGGAGAATGGGGCGGGGTGATGGAAAGAGGGAGAATGGGCCGGGGTGATGGAAAGAGGGAGAATGGGGCGGGGTGATAGAAAGCGGAGAATGGGGCGGGGTGATGGAAAGCGGGAGAATGGGGCGGGGTGATGGAAAGAGGTAGAATGGGGTGGGGTGATGGAAAGCGGGAGAATGGGGCGGGGTGATGGAAAGCGGGAGAATGGGGCGGGGTGAGGGAAGAGGGAGAATGGGGCGGGGTGATGGAAAGAGGGAGAATGGGGCGGGGTGATGGAAAGAGGGAGAATGGGGCGGGGTGATGGAAAGAGGGAGAATGGGGAGGGGTGATGGAAAACGGGAGAATGGGGCGGGGTGATGGAAAGAGGGAGAATGGGGCGGGGTGATGGAAAGAGGGAGAATGGGGCGGGGTGATGTAAAGCGGGAGAATGGGGCGGGTGATGGAAAGCGGGAGAATAGGGCGGGGTCATGGAAAGCGGGAGAATGGGGTGGGGTGATGGAAAGCGGGAGAATGGGGCGGGGTGATGGAAAGCGGGAGAATGGGGCGGGCGATGGAAAGCGGGAGAATGGGGCGGGGTGATGGAAAGAGGGAGAATGGTGCAGGGTGATGGAAAGCGGGAGAATGGGGCGGGCTGATGGAAAGCGGGAGAATGGGGCGGGGTGATGGAAAGCGGGAGAATGGGGCGGGTTGATGGAAAGAGGTAGAATGGGGTGGGGTGATGGAAAGCGGGAGAATGGGGCGGGGTGATGGAAAGCGGGAGAATGGGGCGGGGTGAGGGAAAGAGGGAGAATGGGGCGGGCTGATGGAAAGAGGGAGAATGGTGCTGGGTGATGGAAAACGGGAGAATGGGGCGGGGTGATGGAAAGAGGGAGAATGGGGCGGGGTGATGGAAAGAGGGAGAATGGGGCGGGGTGATGGAAAGCGGGAGAATGGGGCGGGGTGATGGAAAGAGGGAGAATGGGCGGGGTGATGGAAAGAGGGAGAATGGGGCGGGGTGATGGAAAGAGGGAGAATGGGGCGGGGTGATGGAAAGAGGGAGAATGGGGAGGGGTGATGGAAAATGGGAGAATGGGGCGGGGCAATGGAAAGCGGGAGAATGGGGAGGCTGATGGAAAGCGGGAAAATGGGGCGGGGTGATGGAAAGCGGGAGAATGGGGCGGGGTGATGGAAAGTGGGAGAATGGGGCGGGGTGATGGAAAACGGGAGAATCGGGAGGGGTGATGGAAATCGGGAGAATGGGGCGGGGTGCTGGAAAGCGGGACAATGGGGCGGGGTGATGGAAAGCGGGAGAATGGGGCGGGGTGATGGAAAGCGGGAAAAATGGGGTGGGGTGATGGAAAGCGGGAGAATGGGGCCGGGTGATGGAAAGCAGGAGAATGGGGCGGGGTGATGGAAAGCGGGAGAATGGGGCGGGGTTATGGAAAGAGGGAGAATGGGGCGGGGTGATGGAAAGCGGGAGAATGGGGCGGGGTGATGGAAGGAGGGAGAATGGGGCGGGGTGATGGAAAGCTGGAGAATGGGGCGGGGTGATGGAAAGAGGGAGAATGGGGCGGGGTGATGGAAAGAGGGAGAATGGGGCGGGGTGATGGAAACACGGAGAATGGGGCGGGGTGATGGCAAGCGGGAGAATGGGGCGGGTGATGGAAAGCGGGAGAATGGGGCGGGGGGATGGAAAGAGGGAGAATGGGGCGGGGTGATGGAAAGCGGGAGAATGGGGCGGGGTGATGGAAAGCTAGAGAATGGGGCGGGGTGATGGAAAGCGGGAGCATGGGGCGGGGTGATGGAAAGCGGGAGAATGGGGCGGGGTGCTGGAAAGCGGGAGAATGGAGCGGGGTGATGGAAAGTGGGAGAATGGGGCCGGGTGATGGAAAGCGGGAGAATGGGGCAGGGTGATGGAAAGCGGGAGAATGGGGCAGGATGATGAAAAAAACGGGAGAATGGAGCGGGGTGATGGAAAGCGGGAGAATGGGGCGGGGTGATGGAAAGCGGGAGAATGGGGCGGGGTGATGGAAAGCGGGAGAATGGGGCGGGGTGATGGAAAGCGGGAGAATGGGGCGGGGTGATGGAAAGAGGGAGAATGGGGCGGGGTGATGGAAAGAGGGAGAATGGGGCGGGGTGATGGAAAGAGGGAGAATGGGGCGGGGTGATGGAAAGAGGGAGAATGGGGAGGGGTGATGGAAAACGGGAGAATGGGGCGGGGTGATGGAAAGAGGGAGAATGGGGCGGGGTGATGGAAAGAGGGAGAATGGGGCGGGGTGATGTAAAGCGGGAGAATGGGGCGGGTGATGGAAAGCGGGAGAATGGGGCGGGGTCATGGAAAGCGGGAGAATGGGGTGGGGTGATGGAAAGCGGGAGAATGGGGCGGGGTGATGGAAAGCGGGGAGAATGGGGCGGGCGATGGAAAGCGGGAGAATGGGGCGGGGTGATGGAAAGAGGGAGAATGGTGCAGGGTGATGGAAAGCGGGAGAATGGGGCGGGCTGATGGAAAGCGGGAGAATGGTGCGGGGTGATGGAAAGCGGGAGCATGGGGCGGGGTGATGGAAAGCGGGAGAATGGGGTGGGGTGCTGGAAAGCGGGAGAAGGGGGCGGGGCGATGGAAAGCGGGAGAATGGGGCGGGGAGCTGGAAAGCGGGAGAATGGGGCGGGGTGATGGAAAGCGGGAGAATGGGGCGGGGTGATGGAAAGCGGGAGAATGGGGCGGGGTGATGGAAATCGGGAGCATGGGGCGGGGTGATGGAAAGAGGGAGAATGGGGCGGGGTGATGGAAAGTGGGAGAACGGGGCGGGGTGATGGAAAGCGGGAGAACGGGGCGGGGTGATGGAAAGCGGGAGAACGGGGCGGGGTGATGGAAAGCGGGAGAACGGGGCGGGGTGATGGAAAGCTGGAGAACGGGGCGGGGTGATGGAAAGCGGGAGAATGGCGCGGGATGATGGAAAGCTGGAGAATGGGGCGGGTTGATGGAAAGCGGGAGAATGGCGCGGGGTGATGGAAAGCGGGAGAATGGGGCGGGGTGATGGAAAGCGGGAGAATGGGGCGGGGTGATGGAAAGAGGGAGAATGGGGCGGGGTGATGGAAAGCGGGAGAACGGGGCGGGTGATGGAAGCGGGAGACGGGCGGGTGATGAAAGCGGGAGAACGGGGCGGGGTGATGGAAAGCGGGAGAACGGGCGGGGTGATGGAAAGCGGGAGAACGGTGCGGGGTGATGAAGCTGGAGAATGGGGCGGGGTGATGGAAAGCGGGAGAATGGCGCGGGGTTATGGAAAGCGGGAGAAATGGGGCTGGGTTGATGGAAAGCGGGAGAATGGGGTGGGGTGATGGAAAGAGGGAGAATGGGGCGGGGTGATGGAAAGCGGAAGAATGGGGCGGGGTGATGGAAAGAGGGAGAATGGGGCGGGGTGATGGAAAGAGGGAGAATGGGGCGGGGTGATGGAAAGAGGGAGAATGGGGCGGGGGTGATGGAAAGCGGGAGAATGGGGCGGGGTGATGGAAAGCGGGAGAATGGGGCGGGTGCTGGAAAGAGGGAGCATGGGGCGGGGGTGATGGAAAAGCGGGAGAATGGGGGCGGGTGATGGAAAGCGGGAGAATGGGGCGGGGTGATGGAAAGCGGGAGAATGGGACGGGGTGATGGAAAGCGGGAGAATGGGGCGGGGTGATGGAAAGCGGGAGAATGGCGCGGGGTTATGGAAAGCGGGAGAATGGGGCTGGGTGATGGAAAGCGGGAGAATGGGGCGGGGTGATGGAAAGAGGGAGAATGGGGCGGGGTGATGGAAAGCTGAAGAATGGGGCGGGGTGATGGAAAGAGGGAGAATGGGGGCGGGGTGATGGAAAGAGGGAGAATGGGGAGGGGTGATGGAAAACGGGAGAATGGGGGCGGGTGATGGAAAGCGGGAGAATGGGGCGGGGTGATGGAAAGCGGGAGAATGGGACGGGGTGATGGAAAGCGGGAGAATGGGGCGGGTGATGGAAAGCGGGAGAATGGGGGCGGGGGTGATGGAAAGCGGGAGAATGGGACAGGGTGATGGAAAGCGGGAGAATGGGGCGGGGTGATGGAAAGCGGGAGAATGGCGCGGGGTTATGGAAAGCGGGAGAATGGGGCCTGGGTGATGGAAAGCGGGAGAATGGGGTGGGGTGATGGAAAGAGGGAGAATGGGGCGGGGGTGATGGAAGCGGAAGAATGGGGCGGGGTGATGGAAAGAGGGAGAATGGGCGGGGTGATGGAAAGAGGGAGAATGGGGCGGGGTGATGGAAAGAGGGAGAATGGGGCGGGTTGATGTAAAGCGGGAGAATGGGGCGGGGTGATGGAAAGAGGGAGAATGGGCAGGGTGATGGAAGCGGGAGAATGGGGCGGGCTGATGGAAAGCGGAGAATGGTGCGGGGTGATGGAAAGCGGGAGCATGGGGCAGGGTGATGGAAAGCGGGAGAATGGGGTGGGGTGCTGGAAAGCGGGAGAATGGGGCGGGGCGATGGAAAGCGGGAGAATGGGGCGGGGAGCTGGAAAGCGGGAGAATGGGGCGGGGTGATGGAAAGCGGGAGAATGTGGCGGTTTGATGGAAAGCGGGAGAATGGGGCGGGGTGATGGAAATCGGGAGCATGGGGCGGGGTGATGGGAAAGAGGGAGAATGGGGCAGGGTGATGGAAAGAGGGAGAATGGGGCGGGGTGATGGAAAGCGGAGAATGGGGCGGGGTGATGGAAAGCAGGAGAACGGGGCGGGGTGATGGAAAGCGGAGAACGGGGCGGGGTGATGGAAAGCGGGAGAACGGGGGCGGGGTGATGGAAAGCGGGAGAACGGGGCGGGGTGATGGAAAGCGGGAGAACGGGGCGGGGTGATGGAAAGCGGGAGAACGGGGCGGGGTGATGGAAAGCGGGAGAACGGGGCGGGGTGATGGAAAGCGGGAGAACGGGGCGGGGTGATGGGAAAGCGGGAGAACGGGGCGGGGTGATGGAAAGAGGGAGAACGGGGCGGGGGTGATGGAAAGCGGGAGAAACGGGGCGGGGTGATGGAAAGCGGGAGAACGGGGCGGGGTGATGGAAAGCGGGAGAACGGGGCGGGGTGATGGAAAGCGGGAGAACGGGGCGGGGTGATGGAAAGCGGGAGAACGGGGCGGGGTGATGGAAAGCTGGAGAATGGGGCGGGGTGATGGAAAGTGAGAGAATGGGGGCGGTGATGGAAAGCGGGTGAAAGGGGCGGGATGATGGAAAGAGGGAGAATGGGGCGGGGTGATGGAAAGCGGGAGAATGGTGCGGGGTGATGGAAAGCGGGAGAATGGCGCGGGGTGATGGGAAGAGGGAGAATGGGGCGGGGTGATGGAAAGCGGAAGAATGGGGCGGGGTGATGGAAAGAGGAAGAATGGGGCGGGGTGATGGAAAGAGGGAGAATGGGGCGGGGTGATGGAAAGCGGGAGAATGGGGCGGGGTGATGGAAAGAGGGAGAATGGGGCGGGGTGATGGAAAGCGGGAGAATGGGGCGGGGTGATGGAAAGCAGGAGAAGGGGGCGGGGTGATGGAAAGCGGGAGAACGGGGCGGGGTGATGGAAAGCGGGAGAACGGGGGCGGGGTGATGGAAAGCGGGAGAACGGGGCGGGGTGATGGAAAGCTGGAGAATGGGGCGGGGTGATGGAAAGCGGGAGAATGGCGCGGGGTTATGGAAAGCGGGAGAATGGGGCTGGGTGATGGAAAGCGGGAGAATGGGGCGGGGTGATGGAAAGAGGGAGAATGGGGCGGGGTGATGGAAAGCGGAAGAATGGGGCGCGGTGATGGAAAGAGGGAGAATGGGGCGGGGTGATGGAAAGAGGGAGAATGGGGAGGGGTGATGGAAAACGGGAGAATGGGGCGGGGCAATGGAAAGCGGGAGAATGGGGAGGCTGATGGAAAGCGGGAAAATGGGGCGGGGTGATGGAAAGCGGGAGAATGGGGCGGGGTGATGGAAAGTGGGAGAATTGGGCGGGGTGATGGAAAACGGGAGAATCGGGAGGGGTGATGGAAATCGGGAGAATGGGGCGGGGTGCTGGAAAGCGGGACAATGGGGCGGGGTGATGGAAAGCGGGAGAATGGGGCGGGGTGATGGAAAGCGGGAAAATGGGGTGGGGTGATGGAAAGCGGGAGAATGGGGCGGGGTGATGGAAAGCAGGAGAATGGGGCGGGGTGATGGAAAGCGGGAGAATGGGGCGGGGTTATGGAAAGAGGGAGAATGGGGCGGGGTGATGGAAAGCGGGAGAATGGGGCGGGGGTGATGGAAGGAGGGAGAATGGGGCGGGGTGATGGAAAGCGGGAGAATGGGGCGGGGTGATGGAAAGAGGGAGAATGGGGCGGGGTGATGGAAAGAGGGAGAATGGGGCGGGGTGATGAAACACGGAGAATGGGGCGGGGTGATGGCAAGCGGGAGAATGGGGCGGGTGATGGAAAGCGGGAGAATGGGGCGGGGGGATGGAAAGAGGGAGAATGGGGCGGGGTGATGGAAAGCGGGAGAATGGGGCGGGGTGATGGAAAGCGAGAGAATGGGGCGGGGTGATGGAAAGCGGGAGCATGGGGCGGGGTGATGGAAAGCGGGAGAATGGGGCGGGGGTGCTGGAAAGCGGGAGAATGGAGCGGGGTGATGGAAAGGGGGAGAATGGGGCCGGGTGATGGAAAGCGGGAGAATGGGGCAGGGTGATGGAAAGCGGGAGAATGGGGCAGGATGATGAAAAACGGGAGAATGGAGCGGGGTGATGGAAAGCGGGAGAATGGGGCGGGGTGATGGAAAGCGGGAGAATGGGGCGGGGTGATGGAAAGCGGGAGAATGGGGCGGGGTGATGGAAAGCGGGAGAATGGGGCGGGGTGATGGAAAGAGGGGAGAATGGGGCGGGGTGATGGAAAGAGGGAGAATGGGGCGGAGGTGATGGAAAGAGGGAGAATGGGGCGGGGTTATGGAAAGAGGGAGAATGGGGAGGGGTGATGGAAAACGGGAGAATGGGCGGGGTGATGGAAAGAGGGAGAATGGGGCGGGGTGATGGAAAGAGGGAGAATGGGGCGGGGTGATGTAAAGCGGGAGAATGGGCGGCGGGTGATGGAAAGCGGGAGAATGGGGCGGGGTCATGGAAAGCGGGAGAATGGGGTGGGGTGATGGAAAGCGGTGAGAATGGGGCGGGGTGATGGAAAGCGGGGAGAATGGGGCGGGCGAGTGGAAAGCGGGAGAATGGGGCGGGGTGATGGAAAGAGGGAGAAATGGTGCAGGGTGATGGAAAGCGGGAGAATGGGGCGGGCTGATGGAAAGCGGGAGAATGGTGCGGGGTGATGGAAAGCGGGAGGCATGGGGCGGGGTGATGGAAAGCGGGAGAATGGGGTGGGGTGCTGGAAAGCGGGAGAAGGGGGGGGGCGATGGAAAGCGGGAGAATGGGGCGGGGAGCTGGAAAGCGGGAGAATGGGGCGGGGTGATGGAAAGCGGGAGAATGGGGCGGGGTGATGGAAAGCGGGAGAATGGGGCGGGGTGATGGAAATCGGGAGCATGGGGCGGGGGTGATGGAAAGAGGGAGAATGGGGCGGGTGATGGAAAGCGGGAGAACGGGGCGGGGTGATGGAAAGCGGGAGAACGGGGCGGGGGTGATGGAAAGCGGGAGAACGGGGCGGGGTGATGGAAAGCTGGAGAACGGGGCGGGGTGATGGAAAGCGGGAGAATGGCGCGGGATGATGGAAAGCTGGAGAATGGGGCGGGGTGATGGAAAGCGGGAGAATGGCGCGGGGTGATGGGAAGAGGGAGAATGGGGCGGGGTGATGGAAAGCTGGAGAACGGGGCGGGGTGATGGAAAGCGGGAGAATGGCGCGGGATGATGGAAAAGCTGGAGAATGGGGCGGGGTGATGGAAAGCGGGAGAATGGCGCGGGGTGATGGGAAGAGGGAGAATGGGGCGGGGTGATGGAAAGCGGAAGAATGGGGCGGGGTGATGGAAAGAGGAAGAATGGGGCGGGGTGATGGAAAGAGGGAGAAATGGGCGGGGTGATGGAAAGCGGGAGAATGGGGCGGGGTGATGGAAAGAGGGAGAATGGGGCGGGGTGATGAAAGAGGGAGAATGGGGGCGGGTGATGGAAAGAGGGAGAATGGGGCGGGGTTATGGAAAGAGGGAGAATGGGGAGGGTGATGGAAAACGGGAGAATGGGGCGGGGTGATGGAAAGAGGGAGAATGGGGCGGGGTGATGGAAAGAGGGAGAATGGGGCGGGGTGATGTAAAGCGGGAGAATGGGGCGGGTGATGGAAAGCGGGAGAATGGGGCGGGGTCATGGAAAGCGGAGAATGGGGTGGTGATGGAAGCGGGAGAATGGGGCGGGGTGATGGAAAGCGGAGAATGGGGCGGGGCGATGGAAAGCGGGAGAATGGGGCGGGGTGATGGAAGAGGGAGAATGGTGCAGGGTGATGGAAGCGGGAGAATGGGGCGGGCTGATGGAAAGCGGGAGAATGTGCGGGGTGATGAAAAGCGGGAGCATGGGGCGGGGTGATGGAAAGCGGGAGAATGGGTGGGGTGCTGGAAAGCGGGAGAAGGGGGGGGCGATGGAAAGCGGGAGAATGGGGCGGGGAGCTGGAAAGCGGGAGAATGGGGCGGGGTGATGGAAAGCGGGAGAATGGGGCGGGGTGATGAAAGCGGGAGAATGGGCGGGTGATGGAAATCGGGAGCTGGGGCGGGTGATGGAAAGAGGGAGAATGGGGCGGGGTGATGGAAAGCGGGAGAACGGGGCGGGGTGATGGAAGCGGGAGAACGGGGGCGGGTGATGGAAAGCGGAGAACGGGGCGGGGTGATGGAAAGCTGGAGACGGGGGGGGGTGATGGAAAGCGGGAGAATGCGCGGGATATGGAAAGCTGGAGAATGGCTGGGTGATGGAAAGCGGGAGAATGGCGCGGGGTGATGGGAAGAGGAGAATGGGGCGGGGTGATGGAAAGCTGGAGAACGGGGCGGGTGATGGAAAGCGGGAGAATGGCGCGGGATGATGGAAAGCTGGAGAATGGGCGGGGTGATGGAAAGAGGGGAGAATGGCGCGGGTGATGGGAAGAGGGAGAATGGGCGGGGTGATGGAAAGCGGAAGAATGGGGCGGGGTGATGGAAGAGGAAGAATGGGGCGGGTGATGGAAAGAGGGAGAATGGGGCGGGGTGATGGAAAGCGGGAGAATGGGGCGGGGTGATGGAAAGAGGGAGAATGGGGCGGGGTGATGGAAAGCGGGAGAATGGGGCGGGGTGATGGAAAGAGGGAGAATGGGGCGGGGTGATGGAAAGCGGGAGAATGGGGCGGGGTGATGGAAAGCAGAGAAGGGGGGGGTGATGGAAAGCGGGAGAACGGGGCGGGTGATGGAAAGCGGGAGAACGGGGGGGTGATGGAAAGCGGGAGAACGGGGCGGGGTGATGGAAAGCTGGAGAATGGGGCGGGGTGATGGAAAGCGGGAGAATGGCGCGGGGTTATGGAAAGCGGGAGAATGGGGCGGGGTGATGGAAAGCGGGAGAATGGGGCGGGGTGATGGAAAGAGGGAGAATGGGGCGGGGTGATGGAAAGCGGAAGAATGGGGCGGGGTGATGGAAAGAGGGAGAATGGGGCGGGGTGATGGAAAGAGGGAGAGGGGGCGGGGTGATGGAAGAGGGAGAATGGGGCGGGGTGATGGAAAGCGGGAGAATGGGCGGGGTGATGGAAAGCGGGAGAATGGGGCGGGTGCTGGAAAGAGGGAGAATGGGGCGGGGTGATGGAAAGAGGGAGAATGGGGCGGGGTGATGGAAAGAGGGAGAATGGGCGGGGTGATGGAAAGCGGGAGAATGGGGCGGGGTGATGAAAGCGGGAGAATGGGGCGGGTGCTGGAAAGAGGGAGCATGGGGCGGGGTGATGTGGAAAGCGGGAGAATGGGGCGGGTGATGGAAAGCGGGAGAATGGGGCGGGGTGATGGAAAGCGGAGAATGGGGCGGGTGATGGAAAGCGGGAGAATGGGGCGGGGTGATGGAAAGCGGGAGAATGGGGCGGGGTGATGGAAAGCGGAGAATGGGGCGGGGTGATGGAAAGCGAGAGAATGGGGCGGGGTGATGGAAAGCGGGTGATGGAAAGCGGGAGAATGGGGCGGGGTGAGGAAAGCGGGAGAATGGGCGGGGTGATGGAAAGTGGGAGATGGGGCGGGGTTATGGAAAGAGGGAGAAGGGGCGGGGTGATGGAAAGAGAGAGAATGGGGCGGGGTGAGGAAAAAGGGAGAATGGGGCGGGGTGATGGAAAGCTGGAGAATGCGGCGGGTGATGGAAAGCGGAGAATGGGGCGGGGTGATGGAAAGAGGGAGAATGGGGCGGGGTGATGGAAAGAGGGAGAATGGGGAGGGGTGATGGAAAACGGGAGAATGGGGCGGGGTGATGGAAAGAGGGAGAATGGGGCGGGGTGATGGAAGAGGGAGAATGGGGCGGGTTGATGTAAAGCGGGAGAATGGGGCGGGGTGATGGAAAGAGGGAGAATGGGCCAGGGTGATGGAAGCGGGAGAATGGGCGGGCTGATGGAAAGCGGGAGAATGGTGCGGGGTGATGGAAAGCGGGAGCATGGGGCGGTGATGGAAAGCGGGAGAATGGGGTGGGTTGCTGGAAAGCGGGAGAATGGGGCGGGGCGATGGAAAGCGGGAGAATGGGGCGGGGAGCTGGAAAGCGGGAGAATGGGGCGGGGTGATGGAAAGCGGGAGAATGTGGCGGTTTGATGGAAGCGGGAGAATGGGCGGGGTGATGGAAATCGGGAGCATGGGGCGGGTGATGGAAAGAGGGAGAATGGGGCAGGGTGATGGAAAGAGGGAGAATGGGGCGGGGTGATGGAAAGCGGGAGAATGGGGCGGGGTGATGGAAAGCAGGAGAATGGGGCGGGGTGATGGAAAGCGGGAGAACGGGGCGGGGTGATGGAAAGCGGGAGAACGGGGGGGTGATGGAAAGCGGGAGAACGGGGCGGGGTGATGGAAAGCGGGAGAACGGGGCGGGGTGATGGAAAGCGGGAGAACGGGGCGGGGTGATGGAAAGCGGAGAACGGGGCGGGTGATGGAAAGCGGGAGAACGGGGCGGGGTGATGGAAAGCTGGAGAATGGGGCGGGGTGATGGAAAGTGAGAGAATGGGGGCGGTGATGGAAAGCGGGTGAAAGGGCGGGATGATGGAAAGAGAGAGAATGGGGCGGGGTGATGGAAAGCGGGAGAATGGGGCGGGTGATGGAAAAGCGGAGAACGGGGCGGGTGATGGAAAGAGGGAGATGGGGCGGGGTGATGGAAAGCGGGAGAATGGGGCGGGGTGCTGGAAAGCGGGAGAATGGGGCGGGGTGATGGAAAGCAGGAGAATGGAAAGCAGGGTGCTCTAGGGCGCCAGTAGCGGAAGGGTAGGCCCTTAGTTCGAGATGGTCCTAGGTTCCTAACCTAGGCTTCTGATGCCATGTTAGAATGAGAAGGATGGCGTTCAACTATCGAGAGAGATGTACAAGTAGGAAAACCCTAAGGGGTTATACCCCACAGAATCTACCCCCACTACAGCCTACCAATAACTGCAACATATAACATATATATTTTTGACAACCCTGGGCGGGGTGATGGAAAGAGGGAGAATGGGGCGGGGTGATGGAAAGAGGGAGAATGGGCGGGGTGATGGAAGCGGGAGAATGGGGCGGGGTGATGGAAAGCAGGAGAATCGAGCGGGGTGAGGAAAGCGGGAGAATGGGGCGGGGTGATGGAAAGCGGGAGAATGGGGCGGGGTGATGGAAAGCGGGAGAATGGGGCGGGTGATGGAAAGCGGGAGAATGCGGCGGGTGTGAAAAGAGGGAGAATGGGGCGGGGTGATGAAATAGGGAGAATGGGGTGGGGTGATGGAAAGACGGAGAATGGGGCGGGGTGATGGAAACAAAGGGAGAATGGGGCGGGGTGAGGTAAGAGGGAGAACGGGGCGGGGTGATGGAAAGCGGGAGAATGGGGCGGGGTGATGTAAAGAGGGAGAATGGGGCGGGGTGATGGAAAGAGAGAGAATGGGGCGGGGTGATGGAAAGAGGGAGAATGCGGCGGGTGATGGAAGCGGGAGAATGGGGCGGGGTGATGGAAAGCAGGAGAATGGGGCGGGTGATGGAAAGCGGGAGAATGGGGCGGGATGATGAAAGAGGGAGAATGGGGCGGGGTGATGGAATTCGGAGAATGGGGCGGTGTGATGGAAAGTGGGAGAATGGGGCGGGGTGATGGAAAGCGGGGGAATCGGGTGGGTGATGGAAAGCGGGAGAATGGGGCGGGGTGCCTGGAAAGCGGAGAATGGGGCGGGGTGATGGAAAGCGGGAGAATGGGGCGGGGTGCTGGAAAGCAGGAGAATGGGGGCGGGGTGCTGGAAAGCGGGAGAATGGGGCGGGGTGATGAAAAGCGGGAGAATGGGGCGGGGTGATAGAAAGCGGGAGAATTGGGCGTGGTGATTGAAAGAGGGAGAATGGGGCGGGGTGATGAAAAGAGGGAGAATGGGGCGGGGTGATGGAAAGAGGAAGAATGGGGCGGGGTGATGGAAAGCGGGAGAATGGGGCGGGCTGATGGAAAGAGGGAGAATGGGGCGGGGTGATGGAAGAGGGAGAATGGGGCAGGGTGATGGAAAGAGGAGAATGGGGCGGGGTGATGGAAAGAGGGAGAATGGGGCGGGGTGATGGAAAGCGGGAGAATGGGGCGGGGTGATGGAAAGCGGGAGAATGGGGTGGGGTGATGGAAAGGGGAGAATGGGGCGGGGTGATGGAAAGCGGGAGAATGGGGCGGAGTGATGGAAAGAGGGAGAATGGGGCGGGGTGATGGAAACGGGAGAATGGGCGGGGTGATGGAAAGAGGGAGAATGGGGCGGGGTGATGGAAAGAGGGAGAATGGGGCGGGGTGATGGAAAGCGGGAGAATGGGCGGGTGATGGAAAGCGGGAGAATGAGGCGGGGTGATGGAAAGCGGGAGAATGGGGCGGGTGATGGAAAGCGG